AGAAACCTGTAACTGTTTTGCATGATGGTAGGATTGCTGGTGTCTTTTTCTGTCTCATAAACACGCTAGATAACAGGGATATCTTGCTACTCCAACTTACACTTTGGTCACACTTCACAGACATGCACATGCATATATATATATATATACATACATCTAGGTTTTTCTCCTTTTTCTACATAGCTCTTGTTCTTCTTTATTTCTTCTATTGTCCATGGGGAAGTGGAAAAGAATCTTTCCTCCGTAAGCCATGCGTGTCGTATGAGGTGACTAAAATGCCGGGAGCAATGGGCTAGTAACCCCTTCTCCTGTAGACATTTACTAAAAAAAGAGAAGAAGAAAAACTTCATAAAACTGGGATGCTTGAATGTGCGTGGATGTAGTGCAGATGACAAGAAACAGATGATTGCTGATGTTATGAATGAAAAGAAGTTCGATGTCCTGGCCCTAAGCGAAACAAAGCTGAAGGGGGTAGGGGAGTTTCGGTGTTGGGAAATAAATGGGATTAAATCTGGAGTATCTGAGAGAGTTAGAGCAAAGGAAGGGGTAGCAGTAATGTTGAATGATCAGTTATGGAAGGAGAAAAGAGAATATGAATGTGTAAATGCAAGAATTATGTGGATTAAGTAAAGGTTGGATGCGAGAAGTGGGTCATAATAAGCGTGTATGCACCTGGAGAAGAGAGGAATGCAGAGGAGAGAGAGAGATTTTGGGAGATGTTAAGTGAATGTATAGGAGCCTTTGAACCAAGTGAGAGAGTAATTGTGGTAGGGGACCTGAATGCTAAAGTAGGAGAAACTTTTAGAGAGGGTGTGGTAGGTAAGTTTGGGTGCCAGGTGTAAATGATAATGGGAGCCCTTTGATTGAACTTTGTATAGAAAGGGGTTTAGTTATAGGTAATACATATTTTAAGAAAAAGAGGATAAATAAGTATACAAGATATGATGTAGGGCGAAATGACAGTAGTTTGTTGGATTATGTATTGGTAGATAAAAGACTGTTGAGTAGACTTCAGGATGTACATGTTTATAGAGGGGCCACAGATATATCAGATCACTTTCTAGTTGTAGCTACACTGAGAGTAAAAGGTAGATGGGATACAAGGAGAATAGAAGCATCAGGGAAGAGAGAGGTGAAGGTTTATAAACTAATAGAGGAGGCAGTTAGGGAAAGATATAAACAGCTATTGGAGGATAGATGGGCTAATGAGAGCATAGGCAATGGGGTCGAAGAGGTATGGGGTAGGTTTAAAAATGTAGTGTTAGAGTGTTCAGCAGAAGTTTGTGGTTACAGGAAAGTGGGTGCGGGAGGGAAGAGGAGCGATTGGTGGAATGATGATGTAAAGAGAGTAGTAAGGGAGAAAAAGTTAGCATATGAGAAGTTTTTACAAAGTAGAAGTGATGCAAGGAGGGAAGAGTATATGGAGAAAAAGAGAGAGGTTAAGAGAGTGGTGAAGCAATGAAAAAAGAGAGCAAATGAGAGAGTGGGTGAGATGTTATCAACAAATTTTGTTGAAAATAAGAAAAAGTTTTGGAGTGAGATTAACAAGTTAAGGAAGCCTAGAGAACAAATGGATTTGTCAGTTAAAAATAGGAGAGGAGAGTTATTAAATGGAGAGTTAGAGGTATTGGGAAGATGGAGGGAATATTTTGAGGAATTGTTAAATGTTGATGAAGATAGGGAGGCTGTGATTTCGTGTATAGGGCAAGGAGGAATAACATCTTGTAGGAGTGTGGAAGAGCCAGTTGTGAATGTGGGGGAAGTTCGTGAGGCAGTAGGTAAAATGAAAGGGGGTAAGGCAGCTGGGATTGATGGGATAAAGATAGAAATGTTAAAAGCAGGTGGAGATATAGTTTTGGAGTGGTTGGTGCAATTATTTAATAAATGTATGGAAGAGGGTAAGGTACCTAGGGATTGGCAGAGAGCATGCATAGTTCCTTTGTATAAAGGCAAAGGGGACAAAAGAAAGTGCAAAAATTATAGGGGATAAGTCTGTTGAGTATACCTGGTAAAGTGTATGGTAGAGTTATTATTGAAAGAATTAAAAGTAAGACGGAGAATAGGATAGCAGATGAACAAGGAGGCTTTAGGAAAGGTAGGGGGTGTGTGGACTAGGTGTTTACAGTGAAACATATAAGTGAACAGTATTTAGATAAGGCTAAAGAGGTCTTTGTGGCATTTATGGATTTGGAAAAGGTGTATGACAGGGTGGATAGGGGGGCAATGTGGCAGATGTTGCAGGTGTATGGTGTAGGAGGTAGGTTACTGAAAGCAGTGAAGAGTTTTTACGAGGATAGTGAGGCTCAAGTTAGAGTACATAGGAAAGAGGGAAATTATTTCCCAGTAAAAGTAGGCCTTAGACAAGGATGTGTGATGTCACCATGGTTGTTTAATATATTTATAGATGGAGTTGTAAGAGAAGTAAATGCGAGGGTCTTGACAAGAGGCATGGAGTTAAAAGATAAAGAATCACACATAAAGTGGGAGTTGTCACAGTTGCTCTTTGCTGATGACACTGTGCTCTTGGGAGATTCTGAAGAGAAGTTGCAGAGATTGGTGGATGAATTTGGTAGGGTGTGCAAGAGAAGAAAATTAAAAGTGAATACAGGAAAGAGTAAGGTTATGAGGATAACAAAAATATTAGGTGATGAAAGATTGGATATCAGATTGGAGGGAGAGAGTATGGAGGAGGTGAATGTATTCAGATATTTGGGAGTGGACGTGTCAGTGAATGGGTCTATGAAGGATGAGGTGAATCATAGAATTGATGAGGGGAAAAGGGTGAGTGGTGCACTTAGGAGTCTGTGGAGACAAAGAACTTTGTCCTTGGAGGCAAAGAGGGGAATGTATGAGAGTATAGTTTTACCAACACTCTTATATGGGTGTGAAGCATGGGTGATGAATGTTGCAGCGAGGAGAAGGCTGGAGGCAGTGGAGATGTCATGTCTGAGGGCAATGTGTGGTGTGAATATAATGCAGAGAATTCGTAGTTTGGAAGTTAGGAGGAGGTGCTGGATTACCAAAACTGTTGTCCAGAGGGGTGAGGAAGGGTTGTTGAGGTGGTTCGGACATGTAGAGAGAATGGAGCGAAACAGAATGACTTCAAGAGTGTATCAGTCTGTAGTGGAAGGAAGGCGGGGTAGGGGTCGGCCTAGGAAAGGTTGGAGGGAGGGGTAAAGGAGGTTTTGTGTGTGAGGGGCTTGGACTTCCAGCAGGCGTGCGTGAGCGTGTTTGATAGGAATGAATGGAGACAAATGGTTTTTAATACTTGACGTGCTGTTGGAGTGTGAGCAAAGTAACATTTATGAAGGGGTTCAGGGAAACCGGAGTCCTGGAGATGGGAAGTACAGTGCCTGCAATCTGAAGGAGGGGTGTTAATGTTGCAGTTTAAAAACTGTAGTGTAAAGCACTCTTCTGGCAAGACAGTGATGGAGTGAATGATGGTGAAAGTTTTTCTTTTTCGGGCCACCCTGTCTTGGTGGGAATCGGCCAGTGTGATAATAAAATAAAAATAATAAATGACATAAGTTGTGTTGTCAGCAAAGAGAACTGGTTTCAGGTGTTGTGATACATTGGGAAGATCATTGATGTATAAGAGGAAGAGCAGGGGACCAAGGACACTTCCCTGTGGCACTCCAGTATCAAGTGGTTGTGTTGATGAGGTTGTGTCTTTAATGGTGACATACTGATACCTATTAGTAAGATAGGATTTGAAATATGCAAGTGCATGGCCTCGTGTACTATAATGGTCAAGTTTGTGGAGTAGGATGCCGTTGTCTACTGTGTCAAAAACTTTCCTTAGGTCAATAAAAAGAAGAGTTGTTGGTCAAGTACAAAGTAGCTGTTGAGCTAATTACATCAATGGCAGGGATCCCAGTTATAATCTGTTTGTAAAATTTTGCCTGGAAGAGGAGTGGATGGTGAATGAATGTCTAGAGTAATTGGTGTAAATTGCTGGCTTGACATCATTCAGGAAACTTGGTAGTCCATTCATTGACAACTGGGATAATTTCCATGGCAAACATGATATGTATGCAGGAGATTGGGTACACATTTCCGGGATTCGTTCGAAGGAGTCATTGCTAAGTTGTGTAAGACTTTAAACTGATAAAACATAGAGGTAAGAGTATGTGTGGGAAACCAAGGGATTGCAATACTAGAGAGCAAAAATTGGCAGGATATTTCAAGCAGTTAGGTTTTTAGAATCTCCAAGTTAAATAGATTGGGAGTTTCAGGTCTCAGTACTGTACTAAAGTAGTTTTAAGTTTCCACCTTTTAAGTAACAGCAGCTTTCTCTGGGATTTAGGATGCTGGTAACAGGGTTCTGAAATGGTTCATCAAATGTGAACACAAAATACAGTAAGGTCTCAATTAGTGTGAGTTCATTTAGTGCACATTTTGATTTAGTTCAGAATTAATTGTTAGCTTTTTCACCCAAACTCTTCAAATCATGTGCAGATATTACATATAATGCAAATTTGAATTATGTAACCATTTTACAGGATTCACTATTTGCACTAAACAAGACCTGGCCGTACTGTACACTATGTATAATGTTTTGACGTAAGAGCAGCTACCTTCTGAGATTTGTTTCATGATCCATAGAGACTGCCACCTTCCCTAGTCAGCTGTTTCTGACTTGTAAAGCTTGTTGGGCACAGTGAGAAAGTTGAAAATAGGCATTCATAAGAGAAAGCAGAAGGCAGTTAGAAGTTAATACAGAGGTAAAAGTGTTAGGGAGGTTTAAATACTTGAGAAAGAGATGTAAATCTGAGTGACTATGATAATTCTAAATTGTTCAAAGCCTTTGCAGAAAGTAGTTTTCATGCTTCAAGGCATTGTAATATTGTATATACAGTATGTGTTTTTGTTGATCAACCTGTTTAACACTTTTAATAAAGATGAACTAAAATTATTTTTCCATTTTTCTATTTATTATCAAAATATATTTTTTTGCTGTGCGAAGACTTTTATTATAAGTTTAGTGATTCTCCTTTCAGGAAAGACTCGGTATGGCATTTGTGTCAATTTCTACCGTGCTGTTGAGAGAGGGACTGCAAGTGGCTTATCTACAACAAGAGGACGAGATCGTGGATCTTCGTTTAAGCGAGAGTCTTGGAGAACAAGCTTGGATAAGAGCTCCGATTCTGCCTTTTCTAGGTAAGTATTTTATTTCTAAGATGGCTTATGCCTTACTGTTTTTGTATATTTTTACAATATTGCAGGGATTACTTTGAGGTTATTGTATATTTTGTGATAATCAATCATCACACCTGTTTATCAGTATTGTATAAAGAAACCCCCAAATTAAATTTAACTGTCAATATGCTCAACAATTCTTGCTGAAAAAAATCACCTTCCTTCCCTAGTTTTGTCAAGATAAAGCTCACATCAGCTTGTTTGGTTCCCTGCAGCGACCAGCGTTCAACACTAGCACCAAGTGATAGTGAGAGGGAATGTCCACCCTCTCGACGGGATTCAGAGTCCACCTCGCCAGCATCTCGTCTTGGAGTCAATGTTCCCGCTAATGATTCAGACACAGGTGGTTCACACTCTCCTTCACCCAGAGCTGCTAGGAAGAGACAGGTAGTACTCCTTACAATATTTGTTATTAATTAAATGACTGAATAGGTCTGCTTTTGTTTCACTTTCACTGAAATTAGAACAGATCATGTGAAGCACCATATAAAGGAAGCCCACTGCACTGCACATAAATTTATTTGAAAAATCACTTTAGCAAATATGATACTGCACTTTGGAAAGTTTCAAATAAAATTTAAATCTCTTAATGCCTGCACAATACTGCACCGTACATATGTGTATATTCATGACCTTGCTTTCAGAGAGATATGGTATACTTATTTAGAGGATTACAATGTTTTTATTTTATAGCCCTAAGTCACTTCCTTCATTTCAGCCTTTTTTTTCTCTCAGTTCATTTGCAATACTTGATAAGTAATGTGATCTCAGGTGGTCTCTTTGCTCTCCTTCAGTTTTCTTCATACTAAGGTTTTTTCTTTCTCTTGGTATTATTTTTTTTTTTACATCTACTACAAAAAGGCCACTAAAGGAATGCCCACAGAATCTCAGAAGACACATGTCTTAGCTTAATAGGTTGATATGAAATGTCCAAACTAAAAACTGGTCATTGTCAATGTCAAGAAAAACAGATATGCTATAGTTGAAAGAATTGTGATTATATTTTCTAAAATTCATTGTAATGGAGGAAAAAAAAGGTACCTTAATTGAAATTAAAACCTCTATGCAATACTGTACTGTGCATATATAAAATAGAAATAAAAAGTATCATCTAACTATGAGCTTCTGATAACACTAACCACTTTGACTCTTAATACTGTAGCAATTATGTCACCATATGACATGTAAACTGTCATATCTGGATGCCTCTGCAAAGACAGTGATTGTGTGAATGATGGTGAAAGTGTTTCTTTTTTTGGGTCACCTGCTTTGGTGGGAGACTGCCGTGTTAAAAAAAAAATAAAGGAATAATCACTCCTGGCTAGCTTCAACAGGCACATTGATAATAAGTCTTTATCAAGATGTGTAAAGACATTTCCTAATAACCAGTTGTATAAATTTGTGTTATCTCATTTCCTACTACATCTCCATAATACAAGAGTTCTAATATATGGAATTCAGTATCCACAAACTGTTCAAAAACCTGGAATGCAGCTCTTTGTAAATTGAGGACCCTCTATGCTGGTATTATTAAAACAAGTAATGTACATCACATTTTTTTTTTTTTTTTTTTTTTTTTAACAAGTTGGCCGTCTCCCACCGTGGTATTTCAGATTCACTGTTATCAGCCAAGAAAAGATAGATATGGTGGGATAACTTTATCATTATTAAACTATGTAAATAATGTTCCAGATTATGTGTTGCAAGTGTTCTACATTTACTTTGGAAATCTACATGATATGGGTAATTGTGAAGAATAGAGTCACGATACCATAAGTGGAAGAGTACACAAATAACCCACACATAGGAGGAAGGAGCTTATGGTTACATTTTGGTTAGACTTGCACCATTAACGAGTCACACACTAATGTTAGTGTGTGACCAGTTAATGGTCCTAATTGGAGTGAAAAGGCATCCTTAAGTTCCTTTTGCCTATGTGCGGGTTATTTGTGTATGGGTAATTGTGTCATGCTACTTGTTATTATGCAGGAGCGTGCTTGTGGATGGTGGCAGGTGAAGCTGAGGGGATGAACTAGGTCATGACCAGTGTTTGCTTACTCTCCTTTTTATTCTTTTTCATTTTCTGTTTTGTAAAAGACTTCCAAGTGCCAGTTTGATTATTATATAAGAAAAAAATTTGTATCTTTCAAAGAAAGAATTACAGCAAAAAGTACACACAAGGAAAAGTAGAAGGAAAATTTCAGGGTACAAGTAAGGAAAAGAAATGAGAATAAAGAGGGATTATGAAATGAACTGATAACATTAAGTGGGAGAAAAATGGGAGAGCCAGAAGGTATTTTAGTATTATAGTAACCAAAATAGAATTGTTGCTAGGAGATGGGGTGCCTATTTTATTTTATCACAACAGTGTTTATGGGCAACTAAGGCCTGCATAATTACTGTATTTCATTTGAAACAAATAAAGTAAAAGACAGACTAGGTTTTGGTTACTCTTGCCTTGTTAACAGCAATGCATATGACATATCTACTGTATGTTAATAAAAATCAACCATTTATTATACATTTTTAAAATCAAGGCCCCCAGTGGAAATAAGTCACTTTGACTTTTCTGGATTATCCTAGGTAATTTACACTATGTCTGATAATTGTAATAATATGTACCTGTTCCTGAGTAAACTTGCTTATATTTCTTTTGCAGCGTGTTCGGAATCACTCGCTTACTTCGCTGTGTATCCTCTCACACCATCCATTCTTCAGCGCCTTCCGTGAGTGTCTCTTTCTGTTGCGACGAATGATTGATGCTTGTAACGAAAATGCCTCTCCCAGAAGAGTTGGAGCATCACGCCAGAACAATAGGTGAGAGAAATGCATGCTGGCACAGTAAATTTATCATGAATGTCATGTATGTTGTGTATAAGATTGAGAGGAAATACATGCGGCCTCTCCTTGCCTAATGATGGAGTTGCGTTCCTAAGACTGCGTTGGTGAACAAATTCATTGCTAAGTAGGAGCATATTATAATGGTAGTGGATTTATGTCAGCCATCCTTAATATTGTTTTAATATCACCATTGCACCATTTATAACATTTCTGGTATACTTTTAAATGTTAATACAGTAGTGTACTGTATATTATAATAAACAGAATAGAAGAAATTAGCTCTAATATACATTATTTAGGTATGCATACTGGTCAGAGAGCCCATCATAAGCCCGAGTTGTCGGTAAATGAGTAGATTGCTATGTGAGGAGAGACTGTATTTTTTTTTTTAACATGTCAACTGCTTCCCACCAAGGCTGGTTGAGCCAGAAAGAAAGAAAGACCCAAAAAGAAAGAAAAAACTTTCATCATTCAACACTTTCACCATCATTCATACATAAACTCTGTCTTTGCATAGGCGCTCAGATATGACAGTTTAGACATCCCTCCAAACTGCCAATGTCCTGAACCCATAAAGTGCAGGCATTGTATTTCCCATTTCCATGACTCAAGTCTGGCTAACCAGTTTCCCTGAATCCCTTCACAAAATATTACCCTCTCACACTCCAACAGCTCATCAGGTCCCAAAAACCATTTGTCTATTCACGCCTGTCTAACACACTCACACATGCTTGCTAGAAGTCCAAGCCCCTCACCCACAAAACCTCCTTTACCCACTCCCTCCAACCTTTTCGGGGACGACTCCTACCACGCCTTCCTTCCCCAATAGATTATACACTCTCCAAGTCATTCTACTTTGATCCATTCTCTCTAAATGATCAAACCACCTCAACAGCCCCTCTTCAGCTGACTAATACTTTCAGTAAATCCACACCTGCTAATTTCCATACTACAAATTCTCTGCATAATATTTACACCATACATTGCCTTAGACATGACATCTCCACTGCCTGCAGCCGCCTCCTTGCTGCAGCATTTACAACCCATGTTTCACTTCCATATAAGAGTGTTTGTAGCACTATACTCTTGTACATTCCCTTCTTTGCCTCGATGGATGATGTTTTTTGTCTCCACAGATACATCAATGCACCACTCACCTTTTTTCTTCATCAGCTCTATGGTTTACCTCATCCTTCATAAACCCATCTGCTGACAAGTCAACTCCCAAATATCTGAAAACATTCACTTCTTCCGTACTCCCTCCCTCCAGTGTGATATCCAATTTTTCTTTATCTAAATTGTTTGATACCCTCATTACCTTACTCTTAACTATGTTCCCTTTCAACTTTCTACCTTTACATGCCCTCCCAAACTTGCTCACTACCTTTTGCAACTTTTCTTTAGAATTCCCCAAAAGCACAGTATCATCAGCAAAAAGTAACTGTGTCACCTCCCATTTTGTATTTGATTCCCCATGATTTAATCCCACCCTTCTCCCCAACACCCTAACATTTCATTCATTTACAACCCCATCTATAAATATCTTAAACAACCATGGTGGCATTACACATCCCTGTCTAAGACCTACTTTTACTGGGAAGTAATCTCCCTCTCTCCTACACACCCTAACCTGAACTTCACTGTCCTCATAAAAACTCTTTACAGCATTTAATGACTTACTACCTATTCCATACACTTGCAACATCTGCCACATTGCTCCCCTATCCACTATATCATATGTCTTTTCTAAATCCATAAATGCAATGAAAACTTTCCTACCTTTATCTAAATACTGTTCACATATATGCTTCAGTGTAAGCACTTGATCTACACATCCCCTACCCACTCTGAAACCTCCTTGCTCATCTGCAATCCTGCACTCTGTCTTACCTCTTTACCTGGTATACTCAGTAAACTTATTCCCCTATAATTTTTACAATCTCTTTTGTCTCCCTTCCCTTTATATAAAGGAATTGATTGCATAAGAGCAAAAAGTGTACTGTGAACACCTGCTCTGAATGCTTAAGAGTGAATTTTTACCAAATATAGCAGATTCCTAGAAGAAATGGGGGTCCCTGCATATTAGTGAATTCATACAAAATGAATCCACACACAGTGAGAAATCCTATATGTCCATCCACCTATCAAATTATCCATATACCCATCTGTCTAACCATCTGTCTGTTTACTGTATCCATCTGACTGTATCTGTTTACTGTATCTGACTAACCATCTGTATCATGACTCACAAAATCATAATGACACAATTGCAAACAAACCATACCATGGGTGGGGTTAGAACCTGCTGTATGTATATCCAGCCATCCATCCATATATCTATATCCAACTATTCATCCTATTATCTATCAATTGATCTGTCCATATATCTACCCTCCCAAACATTGATCCATATATCTATCTTTTTATCCAATCATCCATCCATATGTCTATCAATCTATTCAACAATTCATCCTTCTGTCCATGCAAACACACACACACATGCATATATTATGGAGCCTCATAACTCAATCACTAGCACACTTGGCTCACACACTGAGGTCTGGGGGTCGATCCCTGGCATGGGTGGAAATATTAGGATGTGTTTCCTTAAGACACCTATCCATGTTAGCCTATCAGTAAAATAGGTACCTGGGTGTTAGTCAACTGGTGTGGGTCACATCCTTTGATATATACCTTACCTTTGATATACCTTTGAATAATTTCGAGAGTATATCTACTCTCTGAGCCCGGCCATGGGCCAGGCTCGTCTGGTGCTTGCCTGGTCAACCAAGCTGTTGCTGCTGGATACTCGCTGCCCCACATATCCATCCTGAGGACAAAATTGACCTAATTTGCCTGAAATGCTCTGCATTACAAGGGGCTTTCTATATAAAAATATGTCATAGATGTCAGCTAGGCTGTATACCTTGTACATGTACCTGTAGAAATAAAGATTATTATTATTACTATTATTATTAATACGTAATAATATTAATATGTGCACAGAGAATATGCACTTGTCAAGCTTGACTTCATTAGTTGTAATTTCTACAGAGATACAGTTTGGAGTGTGATGACAGGCCGACCACACGATGGTATTCCCAGTATCATCATGCATGACGTTAGGGAGATCGAGACGTGGATCTTGCGGCTCCTCTCTGCTCCCGTGTGCGTCCCTGGCAAAACCCGAGTTGAGGTACTGTTTGCCAGTTTTTTCAGCTTATGCTAGTCTCTTAGAATATTTATCATTAATAATCGTTCATCATCAGTTATCATAATCATCATGGTCGTCATTCTTTTTTGTTCATTATGTGCATTTGCACGTAGGAGAGTTATCATTTGAGGCAAAAAATGGAATGCACTAGAGTTGAGCATACTAACGCTTTATTTAGGGGTGTGAGGCAGCCATGAAAATGTGTGAGGAATCACGACAGCCAGGAGAATGACAGGATGGGTATTGAGAACCTTCAAAACAAGGGAAATAATGCCAGTGGTGACACTTTTCAAATCGTTAGTGCTCCCTCATTTGGAATATTTCTCAGTGTTGACGGCCCCATTCAAGGCAGGAGAAATATCAGAGCTTGAACAAATACTACAGAGATTATTTATGCCTGCAGAGAGGCAGTGAAGCATTTAAATTACTGGGAATGCCTTAGTCTTGAAAATGTACTCACTGGAAGGAGAGGGAGATATATGATAATATTTTGTGTTATCTGTCCTGCACAGAGACATGGAAGTTCCATGTTGGGGCCTTTCATATGTGCCACATTAAATGAAGCTCTCGATGATATTTCAGTCCATCATGGATGATTGTTAAGCCACATCTTGAAAATGACCCAGGGTCATACTGGAACATCATCTAATGTTGTGTGAGTGTATAATTTTACCACCTAACAATTATTCTCAAAATTGTCACGATTACTATCTATTCATATTGCAAATTAAATTAAACTTAGCATTCTAACAATCTAATCCTTAACTATGAAATATTATCTTCCTATCTTCCTTAACTATGCAATATAATTTTCCTTAACTGCACAGTATCATTTTCCTATCTTCCTTAATTATGCAGTATCATCTTCCTGTCTTCCTTAATTATGCAATATCATCATCCTTAACTATGCAGTATCATCTTCCTATCTTCCTTAATTATGCAATATCATCTTCTTAACTATGCAGTATCATATTCCTATCTTTCTTAACTATGTAATATCAACCAGTTTTAAGCAACTCATTGTTGTAAACCTTTAGTGTTAACTAGCATTATGCCTAGTCTAAATTTGCCCTAAATTCTATGCATATTTGGGGTTTTTCAAATAATTGTGCTGTGTTTATGTATAATTTTTCATAATAAATTTGTTTGTATGAATTTAAATGTTAATACTTACAAAGCTATATGACAATTGTCACAAATTGTTGGTGCATCATTCCCATTGAATAATGGTTAAGAGGTGGTTTCCAGTAGCTGGAGCTTGATCCTTACAAAGACCATGAAATATTGTTTTATCTCGGTAATCGCAAGTATATACATACTGTACAGTAGTTGTATTTATAAGGAGGTAAAGCATACCCCTTCTTATCTAAGATGAAGATAATTCATAACTACTATATGTACTGTAATTATTTTGTTATGAATGATACAGTCTCTTCAAAATCATTTTAGTATCATAAATGATAATATTAAATTGTCTTGCAGTTGGAGTTGCTGCCGAGGGAGCTCCATGCACCACTGACGTTTGCCTTGCCAGACCACACTCGCTTCTCTCTTATAGACTTCCCTCTTCATTTGCCTCTCGAGCTTCTAGGTGTTGAGTCCTGTCTAAAAGTGCTCACAATCATTTTTCTAGAACAGAAGGTATGACTAAAGATAATCAAGAATGATTTTGCACACTCTCAGATCGAATATACTATAATGAAATGCTTTTTAAATAGAACTAGATACAAAAAACTATTTGCATTTCTTATGTACAGTATTCTACCTTTTGAATCATATTCTCTTTTTAAATATATACAGTACTAAAGAGCAGATATGGAAACTAAAACTAAAAAAAATATATAAAATGAATGCTAAATAAATAAACGTTCATTTACTTGTTGTCAAGCCTGATGCAATGTAGAAATTTTGTATTGCATGCTGAAAGAGTGACGATAACATTTTGAATATTTTCATGCAGGTGTTGTTACAGTCCCGGGACAACAATGCTCTCTCAATGTCTGTGCTAGCCTTTGTGAGCATGATCTACCCACTAGAGTACATGTTTCCAGTCATTCCGCTGCTACCGACGTGCATGAATTGCTCAGAGCAGCTCCTTCTTGCTCCAACTCCTTTCATTATTGGAATTCCAGCCTCATTCCTTCTTTACAAGAAACACTTTGGGTGAGTATATTTATTTTTCTAGATAACAATTGTGGAATTAGAGAAACTTATTGGTTTTACCCAATACATGTATGTACACCTCAGTGGGTTAATGGTTATTTGTTTTCACTACTTTAATTTATTACTCTCTTAATTTTTATTTCACTCACTTCTTTAACTTATTTTACTTTCATTTACCAGTTGGTATTTATCTTTATGTTTTATATTTGTTTACCATTACATATATGTACTTCATAGTTACAGCTGTACTGGCTTATATAGTTGCATATTTTGCATATATCGCTGTATCTGCACCATATACAAGAGACCAGCATTAGAATGTGCATTGTTACCTTCATTCCCACATCATTTTAAGCAACACATTCAAGATTATAAATTTAAAAGGAGAAACTTTAGTTTTTTCTTTTGGGCCACCCCATCTCAGTGGGATACGGCTGGTACGTTGAAAGAAGAAGAAGAAGAAGTAAGAGTTGACTAGACTTCCTAACCCCATCAATGGGCAGAAATATAAACTAAGAATATAGACATACTGAAATTATACTAAAAAGGTTTTCTTTATAAATAGAGTATTGGATTGATTTAAAAGAGAAGGTAGCATGTGCTGCAGCCATGCAAATTTACAACTTTGCAGTAGACTAAATACAGAAAGACAGGATATCACAAGCCTAGTTTTGTTCCTGTAGCTACAGATAGGTACAGTACAGGAGGGCCTCATTTCACAGCTTGATAGGTTCTGGGCTACTGCTGAAAAGTGAAAATCCCTGTAAAGTGAAACAGCCTTTTTTCACTTTCAAATGCATATAAAATCCTGATGATATGTTTACACTATCATATATTAAGTGAACAAAAGAGCAGGTCAAAAAATGCATATACAGTACACACATTACTTACCTTAAAATATTTTCATCCATAGCTTATAGTGACTGGTGAATATATTTATTGTAGGAAGTCCTGAATAAATGAAGACTGGGTATATTTAAAAACTGATGCATTTGTGAAATGCTGTAAAGCAACTTCTATAAAGTGGGGCCCTCCTATAATTACAAATGAGTATTCAGTAATGGCCACAGAGGTACATATAATATATGCAATAAGCAACCACCAAAGGACCAGGAAGTAGTCCAGGTCTAAGTGGGTGTACACCTTCCAGTTCTTGCTTGATCCAAGCTAAATGTTTATGCTATTCCTCTGCAAACTGCCTGCAGGAGGTCAGGTGCCACCCTACTCACCTGACACTACCCAAACTCAATTCATGGAGACTCATAGTTCACAAAACAGACCATGAGCTAAAACTTGTGAGCTATGAGGTTGGTCAGTATGTAACCCATCACCACCTTACAAAAAAGTGGTGCATAATCAGCTAATTGATTCCAGTGGTGCCAGTACTGCACTTCCAATTTTACCTCCAAAGAAACATGTTATCCACTCAAGGCTGTAGCCTTCAGTGGATGATAGTGCATAGTTAAGTGGATATTATAAAAATTTTATTTCATCATGGTGCAATGTTTGTACAAAGGAGAATGACATTTGGGTGTACATGCCGAAAGCCCCTTTAATGCAGAGCATTTTGGGCAAACTTAAGACTTACATGATTAATAAGGCAATAACAGTATGAGTAATTTTATATGTATAATCACTTAGGTGAGTGTAATTTTAAATTTAGGAGTTTACAATGAATACAAGTGAATTAAATATTCTCTTGTTCATGCTATATGATTTTAATAAGTTTGATAGAGAGAAATTACAGGCTTGACTATTAACCTAAAGCAGACACAGTGGATTGATTAACTTTTGAGAGGATGATAGTTAAGTGGATGATAGTGCATAGATAAGGATTAGATTGTTAGAATGCTAAGTTTAATTTAATATGCAATGTGAATAGATAGTGATCTTGACAATTTTGAGAACAATAATAATTAGGTGGTAAAATTACAATAGGCTCAGCATCCAGATGAGTGGAAACAGGGAGTACAGGTATATGGGTCTATTTCACAACTAATCCACAATTTGGAGAGAAAACCTTTTTTCGGTTCATCCTGGATCATTATCTAGATTTGATACAGAACATGGAAAAAAAGCCAGAAGATAGTCCAGGTGAAGTAATAGGAGACAGCCCAGTTCAGAGCAGGTCAATTCTCATGTGTTTTGAAAATTGGAGGATTCGACAACGTACTGGGAAAGGCAAGCATCAATAGAAACAAAGGCAGGACTAAGAATAATCTTAGGAATTTTGTGTATAATAGCCAGTTCAAGGAGGTGGCATTTCCATGCATAGTAAACACAAATGGCAGCATTTTGCCTAACCTTCAGAGATTGCAGTCAACCTGGGAAGGGTGGTCCCATCCAGTGTGGCCACAGCTTCACTGAAGACTATTATCCATTACCATGGCAAGGAATTGCCTTAGGGGAAATATAATGAAATTTGATGGTTTAGGTAATTAATTTGGGAAGTGATTAAAGGAGACAAGTTGTAGTCACTTACTGCTTTTGGTCTAATTAGTTTGTATTTGTATTTACTACATTCAATAGTTTCTCTTCATAGTAATATTGGGTTTTCTCTTAGTGTGGGTGTTATTTTAAAACTGCCTCATAATCCTCTGTAGTTTTTGTATCTTGTTATATTTTTTTTCTAAGAAAATTATTTTAGCTAGAATATTTTTCATTGCTAGACCAGTAGTTAGTCATCCTTCTTATTTTTCGTTTTCTGCTTATATATTTTTCATTTAGATAAATATTATCATACAGATTTAAATGACAAAGGTCCTGTTTGTGTTATCAGTAAAATAAGTCTAATTGTAGTATTTATTTGTTCCCAAAACTATAAAATTACTGTAAGTTATGAAGTTAAATTTTCCAAAATGGTAATATTTTGGACATAAGTAGTTTGTGATGTACTGATTTCTGAATGTTTATAAGTACAGTGGAACCTCAAATTTCGAACGTATCGCTTATCGAACTCTTCAAAAATAAAACCCTTCTTTCTAACCAACTTTGTCCCTATTATCGAACTTGCCCCTATTTTCGAACTGCCGGGTACTGGACCTGTCTGGCCCCACGCAGGCACCGTGAGCCAGTCTGGTTTTGTTGATGCTTGAGTGAACACTAACTTGCGCTCTCATTCAAACATTTTACGATTATTTCATTGTGTTTAGTGCTAGTGGGACTGTGAAATAAGCTACAATGGGCCCAAAGAAACTTGCTAGTGGTACCCCTGTGATAAAGAAAGTGAGAAACACCATAGATGTGAAGAAGGAAATAATACAGAAGTGGAATGATGTCCAAGTGGAATGATGTCCAAATGTGTGTGGAGAAGTACCTGCCTGAGCAAGCTGAAACAAGCCATTTTTGCAACAAGTTTAGTGACAGAACCATGTCCCATTTTAGGGAAATCTTTAAGAGGCACCAGAAACAGAGGACTATGGACAGTTATTTTGTGAGACAGGGGTCCAGTGACTCTCAAGCTGGTCCTAGTAGCATTAAAAGACAGAGAAGGGAAGTAACCCCAGAGAGGGCTTTGATACCTGAAGTCCTCATGGAGGGGGATTCTCCTTCCAAACACTAACTCCAACTCCCACTCTCCTCCTCCCTATCTTCCAGATGCCATCACCAATCTTCAATAAAGGTAAGTAAAATGTTATTTTATATGTTATTTAAATTTATTAATACATAATTGAACACTATATTTTTTGTGTGTATGTAAAACTGTAATTAATCTCTATAAAATATATTTTTTTGTGTGAATATTTTTGGGTTTCTGAAACGGATTAATTGTATTTCCATTATTTCTTATGGGAAATATTGCTTCGCTTTTCAGACTTTTCGAATTTAGAACTAACTCCTGGAACGGATTAAGTTTGATATTTGAGGTTCCACTGTATTTATGTTTTGCAAAACAAGAGACAGCAGTGACTGTAAATCCATGCAAGAAGTCTTCGGATGAGCAAGCGGAGTAACAGGTGAATGAAGGAATGTGATGTAGTAGATCCCTGCAACATAATAGAATCGAAAGAAAATTTTAGACTTATAAAACTAAATTAAATTAAAATTAAAATAATTTATTTCTTAACCCTTTCAGGGTCGAGAGGCCCTCTCCTAAACTCGTTCTAAGGGTTGAAAATTTTTTGGAAAAAAAAAAATTATTTTTTCTTATGAAATGATAGAGAATCTTTTCCCGATCATAATGACACCAAAAGTATGAAATTTGATGGAAAACTTACGGAATTATGTTCTCGCGAAGTTAGTGGTCTCGACGATGTTGGCACATTGGCGATTTCACCCACTTTGAGCCCTGCTTTTGGCCAATTTCAGTGTACTAGTCGACAAAAATTATATCTATTTTGCTAGAACTCTATTTTTTTCTATTGAGTGAGTACAAGAAACCACCCATTTACCAATTTCAAGTATCCAATGAAGAGGTCAGAAATTGGCAATTTTGCCAATTTCACAATTTTCAGAAGATGCCAATTTCCAAATAGGGTCCAGAATAAGCAAGGCAGACATTCCTGGCACTAAAATAGCATTTTCTCTGTTCATTAGTCATGTCCCCAGGCCCCTCTTACATCTCTTTTGCTTTCCACTTTGAATTTTTATTCTCACAAAAAATAGAAGATTTACTGTTATACAGACTACTGTATTAGTGTAGAAATAGTGTAGAAATGGTATAAATAATAGCAGTGCACTTGTGAAAGAATATTAGACTCACCAGTTAATGTGTATTGGATGCTTGGCATGATTTGTTTACTTTTGAAATTTGGTAAAAATCGAACATTTCTGCTAGTTTGAGCTCAATTTCAAGGTATTTTTCATTTTAAAACCGGTCAAAATCATCTCAATTTCTGTAATATGTCTTCCATTCTATAAAATGAGACCAGGAAAACTAAAATACAACCATAAATACAATACAAAAATACACTGCAAATTCACTGTTTTAAACCAAAAACATGGTCGGAGCTTTTTTTTTTTCTCATTATGCACTGTGTGCTGCAGGATTTTTTTATACTGTGCACACTGACCACATAGACCCATTCTGTCATATGTAGGCCTACCAGCTTTCTCTCACTAGATTTGAAGGCGCTAGAATTTAGGCGTTCTAGTACTTCAATAACCCTGGTGCGTAAGCCATACTAGTACATCGGAAACCCTGAAAGGGTTAAGAGCCATACAAATACAGTAGTTATAGATTAAAAATTATTACATTTTGAGTTAGGTCTTATTATAATATAGATATAATTTTATACAATACAAGGCTCAGAAGAAAGCCACTAATTATGCAGATGCATTGCAGGCAAACTATTCATAAGGCTTACTACTTATATCAATATCTAGAACAACATTTAAGTCAGTATAGCTTCAGCAATTCATTACAATCATAAGTATACTACGACAGGTTGCAAATGAAGAATTGGCTAATTGCAAAAAAAATTACAATGAAATTACATTGGTTCAGTTACCTTCATATTATAGAGTGGTTGAATTGGGATGTTGAAATAAAAGCATGCTATACTACACTGGCAAATTTCAAAGTAGTTTCCAGATATATGAAGAGCGTAATTCAAAAAACTTTGAAACATATTGTTGTGGTCACTTCCTAGGGTGGCAGTGTATATATATATATCAGCTGGGCTCTAATAATGAGCCTTAGCCTATAATACCTGGAGACACCTGGAGAGAGTTCCGGGGGTCAATGCCCCCATGGCCTGGTCTGTGATCAGGCCTTATGGTGGATCAGGGCCTGATCAACCAGGCTGTTACTGCTCGCTGCACGTAATCTAACATATAAGCCACAACCTGGCTGGTCAGGCATCGACTTTAGGTGTCTGTCCAGTGCCTGCTTGAAGACAGCCAGGGGTCTATTGGTAATCCCCCTGATGTATGCTGGGAGGCAGTTGAACAGTCTTGGGCCTCTGACACTTATTGTGTTGTCTCTTGTCATGCTAGTGGCACCCCTGCTTTTCATTGGGGGGATGTTGCACTGTCTGCCGAGTCTTTTGCTTTCATAGGGAGTGATTTTCGTGTGCAAGTTTCATACTAGTCCCTCTAGGATTTTCCAGTATTAGTCCCTCTAAGGTTTTCATGTAACTCTCCCTCCTATGCTCTAGGCGAGTACAGGTTTAGGAACTTCAAGCATTCCCAGTAATTGAGGTGGTTTATCACAGTTATGTGTGCCGTGAAGGTTCTCTCTACATTTTCTAGGTCAGCAATTTCACCTGCCTTGAAAGGTGCTGTTAGTGTGCAGCAATATTCCAGCCTTGATAGAACAAGCAACCTGAAGAATGTCATCATGGGCTTGGCTTCCCTGGTTTTTAAGGTTCTCATTATCCATCCTATCATTTTTCTAGCAGATGCGATTGATACTATGTTATGGTCCTTGAAGGTGATATTCTCTGACATGATCACCTCCAGGTCTTTGACATTAGTTTTTCACTCTATTGTGTGGATGGAATTTGAGACTCTCTGATCGCGGGTTCTATCCCCGCCTGTGGTATGATTTGTTTTATACTCTGATGAAATTTTAATTTCCTCATGTTTTCCATATCAGAGTAATTGGAATTTCTCATCATTGAACTTCATATTGTTTTCTGCATCCCATTCAAAGATTTGGTTGATAGCTGCCTTGGGTCTTGCAGTGTCTTCAATGGAGGACCCTGTCATGCAAATTCAGGTGTCATCTGCAAGGGAAGATACTGTGCTGTAGCTTATATACCTGTCTATGTCCAATATGAGGAACAAGAAGGGGGCGAGTACTGTGCCTTGTGGAACAGACCTTTTCACCATAGCTGCCTCAGACTTTACTCTGTTGATTACTACTCTTTGTGTTCTATTTATTAGGAAATTATAGATCCATCTACTGACTTTTCCTGTTATTCCTTTACCACACTTTGTGTGCTATTACACCATGGTCCCACTTGTTGAAGGCTTTTGCAAAGTCTATGTATATTACATTTGCATTCTGTTTGTCTTCTAGAGCATTTAGGACCTTGTCGTAGTGGTCCAATAGTTGGGACAAACAGGAGCGACCTGTTCTAAACCAATGCTGCCCAGGGTTGTGTAACTGATGGGTATCTAGATGGGTGATGAGCTTGCTTCTTAGAACCCTTTCAAAGATTTTTATAATATGGGACGTTAGCACTATTAGTCTGTAGTTCTTTGCTATTGTTTTTAGTAACTGTGGGACGACCGCAGTGTCCATGCTCCCTCTCCACAGGATGTTAAAAGCACGTGATAGGGGCTTCTTGCAGTTCTTGATGAACACGGAGTTCCATGAGTCTGGGTCTGGGGCAGAGTACATGGGCATGTCATTTATCGCCTTTTCGAAGTCATTTGGTGTCAGGATAATATCACATAGGTGTGTGTCTACCAAATTCTGTCTCTCATAAAAAATTAATTTAGGCCTTCGACTCTCAGTCTGGTTAGTGGCTTGCTAAAAACCGAGTCATACTGGGACTTGAGAAGCTCACTCATTTCCTTGCTGTCATCTGTGTAGGACCCATCACATTTAAGTAGGGGCCCAATACTGGATGTTCTAGATTTTTATTTGGCATAAGAAAAGAAATACTTTGGGTTTCTTTCAATTTCATATATGACTTTTAGTTCTTCTCACATTTCTTGACTCCTGTAAGATTCCTTTAGTTTTAGTTCGATGTGTGCTATTTCTTTGACCAGTGTCTCCCTACATATTGCAAATATATTGACGTCTTGTAGTTGCTCTCTTATTCTTTGCCTTCATCTGTATAAGGAATGCCTTTCTCTTTCTAGTTTACATCTTCTCCTCCTTTTCCTTTAGGAAATATGCCTTGAGCATTCCTCAAGTGCCACAGAGTTAATTTGTTCTAGACATAGGGTAGGATCCATGTTGCTTAGTCTATCTTCCCAGTTTATATCATTTAGGACTTGGTTTACTTGGTTCCACCTTATGTTTTTGTTATTGAAATTGAATTTGGTGAAGGCTCCCTCATGTCTGATCATATTTTGTTGGTCTGGGGCTCCCCGCATACATGTCTGGACCTTTATTATGTTGTGATCTGAGTATATTGTTTTTGTTATGATGACATTTTGTATCAGATCATCATTGTTAGTGAAGATGAGGTCCAGTGTATTCTCCAATCTTGTAGGCTCTATTATTTGCTGGTTTAAGGTGAATTTGGTGCAGAGATTTAAAAATTCGTGTGTGTGCGAGTTTTCATCTGAGCTGCCTCCTGGTTTTATCTCTGCTACTATATTATTTGTTATCTTCCTCCATTTTAGGTACCTTAGGTTGAAATCCCCCAGGAGCAAGATGTTGGGGGCAGGAGCTGAAAGATTTTCCAAACAGTGGTCAATTTTCAAAAGCTGTTCCTAGAATTGTTGCGACGTTGCATCCGAAGGCTTGTATACAACCACAATGACCAGGTTTTGGTTCTCGATCTTTACTGCTAAAACTTCAACAACATCATTTGAGGCATTTAGTAGTTCTGAGTATACAAGTGAATCTGTGATATACAGGCCATCAGTCACCAATTTAAAAATAAATTGTTACAGTCAGTCATTGATTATTTGTTGATTAAGTATTTGGTCCAACATTCGACAGTGATCTTGCTTGGGCTAACATGTAAATAGATAATGCTCAGACAAAATGTGCAACAGAAAAGGAACCACAAAATATGTGATTTGCTGGTGTTGCTGAAAATTTGGTTGCCCTTTCCTGTGAGGGCGCTAGATAACCAGTGACCTGTGTATTAAATCAGATTTAGTACTATTTTCCTGGGACCTCAGCTGTGAAGGTCTGTACTATGCAGTCTGGCTTCTAATTCTGTTTTTTTTTTACTGGTATTCTTCTTAATTCTGTCTGGTTCAGTAACGTTTCTGCATAGCATTTTATTCTCTTCAGTCACTGATTTTTTTTTTTTTTTTTTTTTTTTTTTTTTTTTTTTTTCAGAGTTTACAATGTGTTCTTTGACCAGCACCAGATTGAGTAACATGTGCACACATTAATATTTGTGATGACTTGGAATTTTTACATTTTATTGAATTACTAGATATTACGTTTTTTAAATCACCCAGTAGGGTAGCAATTTTGTTTAGCACTCAGTATAGTTGTCATCTTTCCTGGCCTTGAGCCTCCCTCTGCGTGCCCCCATCAGGCTTCCGGATGATGTGTGGTTGATAGACCTCGATGCCAACAAGATCACATCACCTCCGGCCTGTGAAGAAATTCCTCCCCTCCCAGAACCAGAATGTACCATTCTCAAGAACCATCTGAAGCAGGTGAGAAACTGCATATTATATGACTTATTATAAGAGGAAACTCTGAGGAGTTACCAGTTGTGATTACAAGGTCACTGCATGATATTTTATATTTTTGTGATTTTTTTTTTTTTATTGATGGTAAATGTAGAATTATAACTTTTCTTTTCATATGGGAAGGATTTGTATTTTAAGGCTGTTATACTTTCAGTAAAACATAATAAAGAGGAGCCAAAATTATAATGTGTTAGCAATTTGTGCAGGTTAATGGAAGCATGGATGGGAAAAAGTACATGGTTATGAATGAAAAAGTTTCCAAATCTAGCTGAACATGAATAGTTAGTATTTGCTTTTAGATACATATTAAGGACATTACTAATACTGGGTCTGCTATTATTCACTATTTAAGCATAAAGTAGAATTAAATTAAGCCAAATTAACATCTTTACATTTGGCATGCCTCAAAATCCAGGGCATATAGATTTTTTAGTTACAGTACCGAGTTGATGCTTGAGTAGTATACTGCATAATTTGTCTTAAACAAATATCAAGTGGTTATTTTTTATTGTATTTTGATGTTAAAATCTGTCAGTGTCTTAGTTATTGTGCTAGAAAATATTTTATATAGTACAGTAATTAGCTTATTTAAGTACAGTAGACCACCACCTTCTGTGCACCCAGGTACTGTGCATCCAGTGTATTGATAATAAAATTTTGTGTTTTATTTCTACCTTTCCCTGTAAATGACCATCTTTTACACTGGCAGGATATTTTTTTGTCAGTTGGTTTTCACTTGTTGAATTATAATAAAAAAAATTCTGTCTTTTACCAAATGCATTCATATTTTTGTGTATGTGTATTTTATGCATGTAAAGAGATCGTATATTTATTTGGTAGCAATTGGTCAAGAACCACATTTTTAATAGATGGAAACCACAAGTGACTAAATGCTGAGCATACAAAAACACTAAGCTGACTGCCACACTTAACTCCATCCTCCACACATTCTTGTGTTCACTAAAAAAAAAATTTCTCTCTCTCTTTCTTGTCTCTGGATATTAACTTACAGATTAGGTCCATAAAAATACAGTTACATATAAAAAAAATTAGTTTTATGAATAAGTGTCATATATAATCATCCTTTGTACTCTTGTTACAAACAGCTAGTTCTTAGAGTGCAACACCAGGAACACAGCTCGGTCATTACCTGGGAATCCCTTTATGTACTATACTTTTTTCCCTGTTTCTCACAACACATTGTTTTCTCTGTAAATGGCTGTTTTTGAAGAGGTAGACTTATTTAGCAATTTTTCCATTTGCTGCAGTATGCCTGGTCACATACCAGGCATACTCCAGGTATACATGATTATTTTATCACAAAAGTGAAAATCATTTTGCGCTTTAACTTGTCCCTGCACCACATGTAAAAAAATGTTATTTGGATCTGGTGACATTGACACATCATGCTGCAGGATGTCATGTTCATTTTTTCACTTTACTTATTTGCAGTTAAATATACTTTTTATGGGTTTATGGAGCATACTCAAGCCTGACTTTAAGAAAAAATAAAATAGTTTTCTACGTAGGAAATATTTAAAAATTGATGCCGGGTAATGTTTGCACGAGAAAAATAAGTGTAATGTACAATATGTGTACAATAAATTTAAATTTAAAAGCTTAATAATCGTAAAAAGGCAAAAAAGTACAAGGTCAGAAAGAACGATCATGTTATTGCTGTATATCAGCTTGTGAGAACACAGTGAACATTTATAAATCTGGTTAGTAATCTCAAAGGCTAACCTGATAGCAAATCTCAAAACCTTCTCAAGCTTTGTATGTTTGAGGCATTGATTCCAAGTCAGTGGTGCATACTCCAGTTCTAGCTTTATGAAGGTAGTGTACATTATCTGGAAAGAGGCTTCGTTAAACTTTCTGAAGGTTATTCTTATGTTTAGTAGTACCACATATGTATGCTTTTGATATTCTCTTTGTGTGGACTTATAATTACAGGTATGGTTTCATTACTCTCTTTATGTGGACTTAAAGTTATAGGTTTGGTTTTACAAGCAGGTCCCACTTATACAGCAGGTTAGGTTCTGGGCCACCACTGTACAGCAAAAATTGCTGTAAAGTGAAACAGCCTATTTTCACTTTCAAATACATACATAGAAAAGCCTGATTGCAATAATAATAATATAATAACATCTTTATTTACTACAAGTACATGTACATGGTATACAGGCCTAGCTGACATCAGTGACATACTACTATATAGAAAACCCCTAGTTATGCTGAACATTTAGGACAAATTAGGTCAGTGTCCCAGGATGTGACCTGCACTAGTCGACTAACACCCAGGTACCTATTTTACCGATAGGTGAACATAGACAGCAGGTGTAAAGAAACACGCCCAATGTTTCTACCCTGGCTGAGAATCGAACCCAGACCCTCATCGTGTGAAGCGAGAGCATTAGCCACCAGGCCACCAGAGCAGTACTATTTTAAGCGTGTATTAATATTTAAGATTTATATAGCTACTTTAGAGTGATCTAGGCTTTCTTCTGAGTTTTCATTTGTTTCAAATTATATTTCTATTATAATTACATCAAAGTAAAAGTTTTAATTAACTGGAATGTAAAACTAACTACTGTAACTTTGTATGACTCACAATTTTTTTTTTTTTATTTCATATTTTTTATAAGTCGGCAGCATAGTAGGGGATATTTTTTCAAACCCCAAATTATTGCATAATTTCTATGATGAATAAAGTGGTAATCTTTCAGTATGGTTAAGTTGAGTTTGCTAAGTTATATTTAATCATATATTAGGCTTTTTTTAGCATCAAAATCCTTGTTAACTCCTCAGTGTGTTGAAACTGCCTAAGTCATTCACTGCCTCTTTCCACAACTTCTACCTAAAGGCATTGATGGTTATCACCCTGAGCTCTTCTAGTGCTTCCTTGATATTTTCTATGTAGAGCTTATTGATATACTCTTTCCATCATTGTACCAGAGACATTCTTTGTTTATGTAATTTCAAGCCTTGTGTAATGCCATTGTGTAATGCCTTTTACAGGCAGAAATTGCCTCTTGGTCTAAGACCAATGGGAAGCAGGCACTTCATTTTAATGGGAAAATGAGGAAGACTACAATTTACCAGGCCAAGGTGGGCAGGAACATTAAGAAAAGTTGTTCAGTAGGTGACATGAATCACTCATATACTGTATATGCATATATATACTATACTGTGTTGGGATGTTTACATGTGCGTGATGTAGTGCAGATGACAAGAAAGAGATGAGTGTCAATATTATGTATGAAAAGAAGCTGGATGTCCTGGCTCCAAGTGAAACAAAGCTGTACATGGATGGTATACAATACCAACAAGATGAAAATTAGACACACATGCAACATCAGACATTTCACATGTGTCTGATTTTGAAACAAAGATGAAGGGGGTAGGGGAATTTCAGTGGGGGAAAAAAAATGGGATTAAGTCAGTGGTATCTGAGAGTTAGAACTAAGGAGGGAGTAGCAAAAATGTTGAAGGATCAGTTATAGCAGAAAAAGATGGAGTATACCATATTTTACAGTGAACAAGACACTTTGGTGTTGAGGATGCCCCCTTGAGTTCTGACAGGCTAAATTTTGGAAAAAAAAAAGATAAACTGTACTTCGACCTCCAAGACGCTGGATAAATTTTCGAGACTTATTTTGGAAAAAATTAGTGAGAGAGTATTTGTGGTGGGAGATCTAAATGCTAAAATGGAAGCAACTGTTGTAGACGATATAGTAGGTAAGTTTGGGTTGCCAGGGATAAATGATAGAGAAAGATTTGGTAATAGTAATACATATCTTAAGAAAAATTAAAAGAATTAAGTATATAAGATATGATATAGGAAGTAATGACAATAGTTTGCTGGACTATATATTGGTGGATAATAGGCTGATAGGTAGATTTCTGGATGTGCATGTTTATAGAGGGGCAACAGATACATAAGATCATTATTTATTTGTAGCTACATTGAGAGTAAAAGGTACATAGATAGGGTGCAAAGAGAATGCCATCAGTGAGCAAAGAGAGAGGTGAAAGTACATAAATTAAAGTAGGAGGTAGTTAGGGTGAGATATAAAAAATTATTGGGAGAAAGATGGGCTAGTGGGAATATAGGTAATGAGGAGCTTGAAGGGGTAGGGGGTAGATTTAATTAAGACTGCAATATTGGTGTTCAGCAGAAGCTGTGAATATAGGAGGGAAGGTGTGGAAGGGAAGAGAAATGATTGGTGGAATGATGAGGTAAAGGGAGTGTTAAGGGAGAAAAAAGTTAGCATATAAGAAGTTTTTACAAAGCAGAAGTGATATAAGGAAGATGGGGTATATGGAGAGTAAAAGAGAGAGGTTAAGAGAGTGATGAAGGAGTGCAAATGGAGAGCAAATGAGAAGAGGGATAGGAAAAATGTTTTGGAGTGAGAGTAACAGGTTGAGAAGACTTGGGAACAAATGCATTTGACAGTTAAAAGGAGGTGAGGGGAGTTATTAGATAGGAAGTTGGAGGTATTGGGAAGCCATAATATGGTATGGTAAATCAAAGAGCAGTGTGACCAGATGCACATCACACATTTTGACTCGTGAGGCTCTGACAACTGTTATTTTCTCTCATGGTGGTTTCCACAGCCGAGTCAGAAAGTGAAGCTAGGCTCTGATGAGTGAGTGATTTTTTTTCTCACAGTTATTTCCACAGTCAGAAGGTGAGGCTAGCCTATGATGGATGAGTGATTTTTTACCCACTGGTGCCCACAATAGCATGAGAAAAAAGCTAAGCAGGAGTGTGACAGGGTGGGTGGTTCTTCAGCAGTTATACTTCAGTGCAAAATATTTTGAGAGGTGTCTTCTACAAAAGGCTGAAGTTAGCAAAGGTTATCAAATATAGTTTTACTGTACTGTATATCTTACTTTTTAATTTGAAAAAAGACAGGATTAGCAAAACTTTCACATCTGTTTGTCATATATTCATACTCTGTGTAAAATACATTTGTTTGTTTTTCCTGTGATGAATGTATGAGCTGTTTATATTTATGCTTTGCAGTTGCTTGTCATGTGTGTGCATTATGAGCATGTGTTGAGTATTGTGTTGCATTGCATTAAAGAAGATTCTTACAGATCTTGGGAAGAAATGTCATATATGTGCTAATCTGTTGCCCTGAAATACTGTAATTTATTAGATAAAATATATATAAATCTATTTAGTGTATAATGGCATGATTTACTAAGGAATATATTGAATAGTTTATAATACTGAATATGTAATAATTAAAATAATACAGCCACTTAAAAATTAAATTTTTTTACTACAGTATTGTATAGAGTATTTGAATTATGAGCTGCGGAAGTTATGCGAATTAGTGTGAATATCATGTGATGGATGTGTACTTCTCTCTCCTGTGCTACCCACCTGTGCGTTGTCAGATCCATGGCCTCTACCAGACTAACTGGTATTCAAAATTTCATCAACTAACTATCGAAGCCGGGGTAGGATTATTTCCATATCTTGTGTTTCCCTTCTTTCTTTTTTTTTTTTTTTTTTTTTTTTTTTTTTTGTCTGTGCAACATATCATCTATTATTTAAATTTCCTAAATTTTGTTATAGTTTCTGAAAAAATATTAATGCTCCAGTGGATTATTTTTCATAACATCTGTTTGAAATTAAAATCCTCAAGTGATGTCTTAATTGTGTTCAACTCTTCTAAGCCATCTTGTCTCCTGCCATTTTTCCCTAAACCATCTTGTTTCCTTCTGCCATTTTTCCTAAGCCATCTTGTCTTCTGCCATTGTTTAAGCCATCTTGTTTCCTTTATGTGTTTTCTCCATGCAGTCATGTCTCTGATCTGTGTTCTCTGAGCCATCTTCTTTCTCATCTGGGTTCAGTATTTCCACTATATATTACAGTGCAGGTAATTTACCTCTTCTTCTTAAATTGTATATCCCGTTTAGTAGATGTTCTGTCATCATTCATCTCTACATTTCCTCTAACATAGTCTTTCACTTCAATGGCATATCTTTTTATTACAAGTATAATTTCTTCCTCTTCCACTTGTGTATCTCTGTTACTTTACAGTTGTACAGATATACAGTATTAGAATTTCTCTTTTACCACAGAAATTGATGTATTGTTACAACCTTGTGTACCTCCACCAGTGCAGGTTTATTCATTTTTCACTCTAATTTCACTAGCTATTTTATGTATACTTATCTTCTTATAGTGTAGGTACAGTATAGGTATACTTTGCTAGTAGCATATAACTGCAGTGCCACTCATATACTGTATGTATGGTACATATTTCTCTCTTACACTGATTTCACTAGTATGTATATTATCACTTTTAGTTCAATTTTTTAAGTAATTGCCATTAATTATATTTATCCTATTCATCAATGGGATTATACCTATAAATTTTTCTTCCAGATAAATCTGAAGTTGGAATACAGTACATTAAAGTCATCTAGGTTCAGTTGATTTTTACTTCATTAGTCTGTGACTAAATTTATGGCAAAAATTTCTTTTTGTATACAAAATACTTAGTTAGCTCTTTAAGGTGCTTCTTTGGTCATTTTTAGTACACGTGCAGTTATGTTATGAAATGTCAATAGTCAGTTGATCAATATTCATTACAGACATGAACATATAGGAAATTAAGTATGCATTTCAAATATTACCTCAGGCTAACTTATAAATTGAGATGTGAGATAGATGAAATTTCGGTGTAGGATGATGCCATTCTATGTTACCTGCAGGAAATATCAAACTAGAGGCAAACAAAAGAGTGTAGGTAACACAGATCAGCAGCACAAATGAATCAACATGGAGATAATTATAGCACAGTAATTTAAATGTAGTATATTGGGTGTCCTGTGGCTTGGGTGGCAGTGCACAGAGCTTACATCCTGAGTGTCCGTGGTTTGATACCTGGCATGGGTGGAAACGGGCATGTTTCCATACACCTACTGCCCCGGTTCACCTAGCAGTAAACAAGTATACCTGGGTGTTAGTTGACCGTTGTAAGTCGCATCCTGCAGGGTGGTAGTTTACCTCAGATAAGGCTGGGCTTTGAAATGAGCTGAGGTAGGATAACAGCTCTTAGCCTGTAAAATTGATTTGTGGAAAAAAAAAAGAAATTCTGCCTTAAATAGGCTCTCTTAAGCAGACAGTCTGCTGAAGGCGACCTCAGTTTCAGGCCATATATACAGTACTCTTTTTAAGTGTTAATTTGTTGTCTCTATGTGGATTCATTTATGCTATCACTCTAGATATTTATTTCTCTTGATATCCTACTTCTGTATTTTCATGTTTTCCCACCACTGACGATGTACTTCTGCTATTCCATTCTTAAGTATTTATATCTTTGTAAGTTTATTCCTGTCCTCATAACTGTAATACAACAGAGCTCTACATCAGTATTTCTCCTTCATAGTATAGGCATAGCCTTTGCTTTCCCCCACATTCACTTTGTGGTATCAGGTCGCATGCTCTCTAACTTTTGGTTTTAAGATGATCTATCCTTAGTGCAAGAATACGAATGGGATAATCTTTGTCTTAACTTTTATGGCTTTAGTTAGTCTAGGTGCTCTTGATATGGTTGAAGGTTTGCATGTCATGTTGATAAGATTACAGTGTGTTTAAAGAGATTATTCTGTTTTGAATTGCTATACTGTACCACTTCATAATGGTTTGAAAATTTTGACTTGTGCAGTTCTCTTCGGCTAAGAATGAGCTGACCATTATGGGTGGGTGTGAATTGATGTACATCATGCATGTGTACACATCTTAGGCTGTTTAATGGTACTTCGCACGTCTTCATCTCTGGCTAAGGATATATTTCAGTATATTTGTGTTTTTTCTCAATATTTTATAAAATTGTTGTATATTTTATGTATGAGATTATTTAATATTTCCAATGCAAACAAATTAACTATTATTATTTTCACCTTTACGTAAAGATTAAATAATTTTGAATATCATTTAATATGGATAATTGTCATCAGTGGGATTAATTACTCAAAATAATGCACTGGTTTCACATAATTTTACTAAAAGAATATTCACTTCAAATGAAAAAGTGGAGATCATCAGCCATTGTTGAACATGTATGAGTTGTTGATAGTAGTACAAGATATGTATATATATAAATTTGCATTCATACTGAAGAGATTGATCAGTAGTTCTTATGTTTGATCTTGATCTTCCCCTCCCACCCTCCCTCCTTCCCATTTTCCCCATATTTCTCCCCATCATTCCTTGATCCATCTTATTTACTGTATTCACTATTATTTTTTCTTTCTCCTGTTCCTTGTCATTGTTTCCATGCGGCTCCACCTACAGGCTATAAAATCTATGGATGAGGTTTGTCATGCGTGGTTGACATGTAGTTCACAAGTTTGATCATTTTTTAGTGAGCTGTCTCTGTTTTTCTGCCTTTGACGTGAGAATCTTGCCAGAGAAGTTTTGCCTGCCTTTGGTGTTTACTGCATGTCAATACAAATAATGTATGTCAATACTATATATCATTTTTGTCTCTGGTAAAACATTGTATAAGATGTATTGTGATTAATTAACATTTTTTTGTAATTTCTCTGGTAATCAGATTAGTGAATTAACCATCATTCCTCTCAAAATTAGTGAGAAAAATGATTCCTCTCAAAACCACATGTAGTAAACCTGGCAAGATTATCAAGGCAATGGTCTTTCTATGTCCGTCACATTTTTGTCAGATTTTTTTTTACCCATCCCTATACTTGAAATGTAAGTACAGTATATTTAGCATGGTAATTGTCTAAGAAATTTACATTAATTCATCCTCAGAACTCATGATTTATTATTTCTTTGACAATTGCTTTTATATATGGGTGTGGCACTGACTGAGACTTTATAAGCCCATTCATTTCAGTAGTTGAAGTTCAAAATGTATGAATGATTTGTCTTCTTCAGTAACTTTAATTGTATGAAATAGACAAGTCATTTAGATTAATATTAAAAGTAGTTATCAGTGATCACTCATGCCACACCCAGTGTAGTCAGTTCCCAGAATTTCGTAGATTTGGTGACAGTTTTCTTTTAAGCAAGAAATCATCGGGACGATTTTAGATTTTAGAATACTGTACTAAACTTTACCCATGGGATTTAGTCACATGGTATATGCTATATTCTCATCTTATAGCAATGAAAATATTAAGGTCATTTATTATCTGGATGCTGTATATTAGAAAATTAATAGAACTAGAAATACATTTATAAATTGTCCTTAGGACCAGCTATGACTGCCACTAATTGTAAATCTACAGAAATCTATTTACAGTATATGTAATGAAATTAACATTCCCATTTGAAAAGCTTCTCTTCTGTGTCACTGTAGATTGGATTTTCTCATTTTGTTATGGAAAGAGTATGATTTCTTTTAAGGATTTCATAACAAGGATTAGTGATTCACTGCAATATCCTTTTGCTATTTGCTCAAGAGTAATATTTATTCAGTGGGGATGAACTTAAATAGCATGAGCTGGTGAGTTATCACTTACCCAATTTATAATGATTTTTAAATTTTAATGTATGTACTGTATATTACTTCCCACTTTTATTTTAGGGTGAAGTTTGATAATGTACTATTATGTACTGTAATTATTTTCATTATTGCTAAAAAAAAATTGCATGATTGCATGAGCTGGATATCAACAACACACCTAAGATATATTTTTGGACTAGAACATGTGTTCTACATTGATGAAGTTTATACGCCAAGTTTTACCTGCCTCCAAGACACGGCTTATTTACTCATTGTACCTCTACCAAGATATTATTTTAATTTTAAATTTTGTTCTTTTAAATTTTTCCTGAGTAAAGTTAAAAGCTTTAATGAATTTCTGGCAGTGTAAATTTTGAAGGCCTTTCATCTTATTTCTCTAAAATGGAATATAGTATATTAAGTAATTTGAGTGACTGACAGTGTATTACTACTTTACAGAAAGTTCCTCGATATGCAAAGCATTTTGCGAAGCCTTAAAACTGAATTATGATTACTCTGGGAGATGGCCAACATCTTCAGAAAAAAAGAAATAGTTTTAAAAATATTGGAGATATTTAGCAATTCATTAAAAAAGTGTAATTCATAATTTATAAGATGATGGTATTTAAAATTACCAAGATTATTCAGGATTTGTTAATTGTACTTAATGTTTACAAGCCACTAACTCATATCTCTCAGTGAAGTAATGTCTCGACTGATTAGTATTGTCCTGATTATTACAGGAGTGAAAAATAGCTTTTAATGAACATGCAAAATCTTCCACTTATCAGTTTAGTAGGCCGAAGACATTAGGCTTAAGTTTTAAAATCAGAAATTATTTTCTCAAGAGACTTATCTAGTGTTGATAATAGGCCAGTACATATGTTAACCCTTTGACTGTTTTCGACGTATAAATACGTCTTACGAGCCAATGTTTCTGACGTATGTATACTCAATAATTCTAGCGGCTTCAAATCAAGCGGGAGAAAGCTGGTAGGCCCACATGTGAGAGAATGGGTCTGTGTGGTCAGTGTGCACCACATAAAAAAAATCCTGCAGCACACATTGCGTAATGAGAAAAAAAAAACTCTGATCGCTTTTTTGGAATAAAACACCGACTTTGAGGTGTATTTTCGTATAGTATTTATTGTTGTATTCGCGTTTTCATGGTCTTAGGTGATAAAATGGAAAATATATTACAGAAATAGAGATGATTTTCATTACTTTGACGATGAAAACGACCTTGAAACTGAGCTCAAAGTAGCGGAAATGTTCGATTTTTACCAATGTTCAGGAGTAAATAAATCACACCACACGTCCAATACACGTCAACTGGGGAGCCTAATATTCTTTCACTAGTGCACTGATATTATTTATACCATTTTTACAATAATGCAGTAGTCTGCATAACAGTAAATTTTGTATTTTTTGTATGAATAAAAAATCAAAATAGAAAGCAATAATAATATAAGAGGGGCCTAGAGATGTGTCTAATGAACAGAGCATATGTTATTTTAGTGCCACGAATGTCTACCTTGTTTATTCTGGACCCTATTTTGAAATTGGCATCTTTTTTAGTTTGCGTGAAATTGGCCAAATTGCCAATTTCTGACCACCATATTGGGTAGTCCAAATTAGTAAATGGGAGGTTTCTTGTACTCAGCTGATAGGTAAAATGGAGTTCTAAAGAAATAGCTATGAGTTTGGTCAACTGGAACAATGGAATTGGCTGAAAATAGGGCTCAAAGTCGGCGAAATCGCCGATACGCATATGTCGCCGAGACCGCTAAATTCGCGGGAGCATAATTCCATGAGTTTTCGACCAAATTTCGAACTTTTGGTGTCATTACCATCGGGAAAAGATTCTCTATCATTTCATAAGAAATTTTTTTTTTTTTTTTTTTTTCAAAAATTGAGCGACATAGAATGACAGTTTCAGAGAGGGGCCTGAAACAGTCAAAGGGTTAATATAATAATAATAATAGTAATAATAATGAAGGGAAAAAATATCAGTCCAAAATTATATTAATGACATGCATTGTTCATTTGAATGTAAAGAATATGCAGCTCAGTGAAATATAAATTACTTGGTAAATTATTTATATATAATTTTGCATTTTTAAATGTGGTTGATTTATATTTTGTTTTACAGTGACAAATTTTTAAATTATATTCTAATATGTTATAGAGTATGACTTTAAATGAAGTAAAGAGATGATGTATAAACTATTAGCAGTGCTAGTATTGATTCCTCAGTGAGAATTTGCTTTTTTTCTACAATGGAAGCGAGAACATGGAATCTTTTCTCTGTCTTTCCCTTTATGCTTGTGCATTAATGCCTCATCTCCCATCTCTTTTGTACCAGGCCCTGGCAAGTATGTCCCCGCAGCCACCTCCACCCAGGAGCATGGAGGAGGTGCAGAGAGAGAAGGCACAGCAGCAGTACTCTCCTGCCACACATTATAATCCATTTATATATGGTCAGTCATGTACTCTACTGCTTGAGTGAATGTATTGCAACAGTCATGTATTCTATGTACTTGAGTAAATGTAATACAATAGTCATTTATGTACTCCACTGCTTGAGTGAAAGCATTGGTTGGCAGAACATCTACAGTAAAGATACCCTGAACCTACTAAATATACGAGACATACACTCATATTATAATGCCTACTACGTATACAGAACATTAAACTTCAATAGAAACCCTCCACTGAAACTTCTCCTTGATAGCTAGAACAGAACACACAGTCACAACACATGGCACAAGGCACTCTTTTACATCCCTCATATCAGTCTCACACTATGCAAAAATGCAATGCACATCAAGGGCCTGAAGATCTGGAATTCACTACTTGAACCGGTAAAGGATCCCCTGACTAAATATAAATTTAGGACTATGCTTAAAAATCATCTCATCTCTCAGTACCAACCAAAACAACTTCTAATCAGTTTTAAGCAACTTTTTTTTTTTTAACAAGTCGGCCGTCTCCCACCGAGGAAGGGTGACCCAAAAAAGAAAGAAAATCCCCAAAAAGAAAATACTTTCATCATCATTCAACACTTTCACCTCACTCACACATAATCACTGTTTTTGCAGAGGTGCTCAGAACACAACAGTTTAGAAGCATATACGTATAAAGATATACAACATATCCCTCCAAACTGCTAATATCCTGAACCTCTCCTTTAGACTGCAGGCACTGTACTTCCCATTTCTAGGACTCAAGTCCGGCTATATAAAAATAACCGGTTTCCCTGAATCCCTTCACTAAATATTACCCTGCTCACACTCCAACAGATCATCAGGTCCCAAATACCATTCGTCTCCATTCACTCCTATCGAACATGCTCATGCATGCATGCCTGCTGGAAGTCCAAGCCCCTCGCCCACAAAACCTCCCTTACCCCTTCCTTCCAACCTTTTCAAGGACAACCCCTACCCCGCCTTCCTTCCCTTACAGATTTATACACTCTCCATGTCATTCTACTTTGATCCATTCTCTCTAAATGACCAAACCACCTCAACAAACCCTCTTCAGCCCTCTGACTAATACTTTTATTAACTCCACACCTTCTCCTAATTTCCACACTCCGAATTTTCTGCATAATATTTACACCACACATTGCCCTTAGACAGGACATCTCCACTGCCTCCAACCGCCTCCTTGCTGCTGCATTCACAACCCAAGCTTCACATCCATATAAGAGTGTTGGTACTACTATACTGTCATACATTCCCTTCTTTGCCTCCATAGATAACGTTTTTTGTCTCCACATATACCTCAACGCACCACTCACCTTTTTTCGCTCATCAATTCTATGATTAACCTCATCCCTCATAAATCCATCTGCCGACACATCAACTCCCAAGTATCTGAAAACATTCACTTCTTCCATACTCCTCCTCCCCAATTTGATATCCAATTTTTCTTTATCTAAATCATTTGATACCCTCATCACCTTACTCTTTTCTATGTTCACTTTCAACCTTTACACAAACTCCCAAACTCATCTTACTAACCTTTGCAATTTTTTTTTAGAATCTCCCATAAGCACAGCATCATCAGCAAAAAGCAACTGTGTCAATTCCCATTTTGTATTTGATTCCCCCATAATTTAATCCCACCCCTCTCCTGAACCCCCTAGCATTTACTTCTTTTACAACCCCATCTATATATATATTAAACAACCATGGTGACATTACACATCCCTGTCTAAGACCTACTTTTACTGGGAGGTAGTCTCCCTCTCTTCTACACACCCTAACCTGAGCCTCACTATCCTCATAAAAACTCTTTACAGCATTTAGTAACTTACCACCTATTCCATATACTTGCAACATCTGCCACATTGCTCCCCTATCCACTCTATCATATGCCTTTTCTAAATCCATAAATGCAATAAAAACTTCCCTACCTTTATCTAAATACTGTTCACATATATGCTTCAATGTAAACACTTGTTCTACACATCCCCTACCCACTCTGAAACCTCCTTGCTTATCTGCAATCCCACATTCTGTCTTACCTCTAATTCTTTCAATTATAACCCTACTGTACACTTTTCCTGGTATACTCAGTAAACTTATTCCTCTATAATTTTTACAATCTCTTTTGTCCCCGTTCCCTTTATATAAAGGGACTATACATGCTCTCTGCCAATCTCTAGGTACCTTCCCCTCTTTCATACATTTATTAAACAAAAATACCAACCACTCCAACACTATATCCCCCCCTACTTTTAACATTTCTGTCATGATCCCGTCAGTTCCAGCTGCTTTACCCCCTTTCATTCTGCGTAATGTCTCGCGCACCTCCCCCACACTCACATCCTGTTCTTCTTCACTCCTAAAAGATGGTATACCTTCCTGGCCAGTGCATGAAATTACCGCTTCCCTTTCTTCGTCGACATTTAAAAGTTCCTCAAAATATTCTCATCATCTACCCAAAACCTCCATCTCCCCATCTACTAACTCCCCCACTCTGTTTTTAACTGACAAATCCATTCGTTCTCTAGGCTTTCTTAACTTGTTTAACTCACTCCAAAATTTTTTCTTATTTTCATAAAAATTTCTTGACATTGCCTCTCCCACTCTATCATCTGCTCTCCTTTTGCACTCTCTCAGCACTCTCTTCACCTTTCTTTTACTCTCCATGTACGCTACTCTTCTTATAACACTTCTGCTTTGTAAAAGCCTCTCATAAGCTAACTTTTTCTCTTTTATCACACCCTTTACTTCATCATTCCACTAATCACTCCTCTTTCGTCCTGCACCCACCCTCCTATAACCACAAATTTCTGCCCCACATTCTAATACTGCATTTTTAAAACTATTCCAACCCCCTTCATCTCCCCCACTACTCATACATGCACCAGCCCACCTTTCTGCCAATAGTTGCTTATATCTCACCCGAACTTCCTCCTCCCTTAGTTTATACACTTTCACCTCCCTCTTGCTTGTTGTTGCCATTTTCCCCTTTTCCCATCTACCTCTTACTCTAACTGTAGCTACAACTAAATAATGATCCGATATATCAGTTGCCCCTCTATAAACGTGTACATCCTGGAGGCTATCCATCAACCTTTTATCCACCAATACATAAAATAACAAACTACTTTCATTACGTGCTATATCATACCTTGTATATTTATTTATCCTCTTCTTCATAAAATATGTATTACTTACTACCAAACCTCTTTCTATACATAGCTCAATTAAAGGCTCCCCATTTTCATTTACCCCTGGCACCCCAAATTTACCTACTACTCCCTCCACAACATTTTTGCCAACTTTAGCATTGAAATCCCCAACCACCATTACTCTCACACTTGGTTCAAAACTCCCCACGCATTCACTCAACATTTCCCAAAATTTCTCTCTCTCCTCTACACTTCTCTCTTTTCCAGGTGCATATATGCTTATTATAACCCACTTTTCACATCCAACCTTTATTTTACTCCACATAATCCTTGAATTAATACACTTATAGTCCCTCTTTTCCTGCCATTACTTATCCTTCAACATTATTGCTACTCCTTCTTTAGCTCTAACTCTATTTGAAGCCCCTGACCTAATCCCATTTATTCCTCTCCACTGAAACTCTCCCACCCCCTTCAGCTTTGTTTCACTTAAAGCCAGGACATCCAGCTTCTTCCCATTCATAACATCCACAATCATCTCTTTCTTATCATTCGCACATCCACGCACATTCAGACCCCACTTTGACAGTTTTCTTCTTCTTATTGTTTTTAGTAATTATTACAGGAAAAGGGGTTACTAGCCCATTGTTCCCGGCATTTTAGTTGACTTTTACAACACACATGGCTTGTGGAGGAAAGATTCTTATTCCACTTCCCCATGGATATAAAAGGAAAAGTAATAAGACCAAGAACTATTAAGATAAAATCAAAGAAAACTCAGATGAATGTGTATAAACGTGTACTTGTATGTGTAGTGTGACCTAAGTGTAAGTAGAAGTAGCAAGACGTACCTGTAATCTTGCATGTTTATGAGACAGACAAAAGACACCAGCAATCCTACCATCATGTAAAACAATTGCAGGCTTTCGTTTCACACTCACTTGGCCGGACGGTAGTACCCCCCTGGGTGGTTGCTGTCTACCAACCTACTACTACAACTCTCCCAAATAATGTATTATATGACCTCTAGTCTATTAAAGATCTTCCAATCCATGAAATATTACTGTTTGAACTATTAATTGTAATACTGTTTTTACATGTAACTTCAAGATTATTATTCTTATAAACCTCCACCTTGACTACCTTGCATTAGTATTAAGGTTAAATAAAGATTTATTAAAAAGTTAACCACTCTTATCTTGTCAAGATTTAAATAGTTATTATGTACTAGGATTAGTCTGCCCGAAATGCCTCAGCATGATAGTGGCTTTCTTTGTACTTAACCCTTTGACTGTTTACACCGTATATACACGTCTTATGCGCCACTGTTTCTGACGTATTAATACGCGTAAATTCTAGTGGCTTCAAATCTAGCGGGAGAAAGCTGGTAGGCCCAAATGTGAGAGAATGGGTCTGTGTGGTCAGTGTGCACCACATAAAAAAAATCCTGCAGCACGCAGTGTGTAAGGAGAAAAAAAAACCTGACCGTTTATTTGGATTAAAACGCCGATTTTGAGGTGTATTTTCGTATAGTATTTATCGTTGTATTCTCGTTTTCATGGTCTCAAGTGATAAAATGGAAAACATATTACAGAAATAGAGATGATTTTGATTACTTTCATGATGAAAACGACCTTGAAATTGAGCTCAAAGTAACGGAAATGTACGATTTTTACCAATGTTCAAGAGTAAGCAAATCACACCACAAGTCCAATACACATCAACTGGGGAGTCTAATATTCTTTCACTAGTGCACTTATATTATTTATACCATTTTTACAAAAAATGCAGTAGTCTGCATACCAGTAAATTTTGTATTTTTTTGTATGAATAAAAAATCAAAATAGAAAGCCGATACGTATATGTCGCCGAGACCGCTAACTTCGCGGGAGCGTAATTCCATGAGTTTTCGACCAAATTTCATACTTTTGGTGTCATTACCATCGGGAAAAGATTCTCTATCATTTCACAAGAAAAAATAATTTTTTTTTTTTTTTTTTTTTCAAAATTTGCCGACATAGCATGACAGTTTTAGAAAGGGGCTTGCGACAGTCAAAGGGTTAACAAACCAAAATTGTAATTACACATTGTAACCTTTACAAAGAAATAAAATCTTTATTCTTTTATTTTATTTTTTTTTATGGTGAAAGTGTTACTTTTTTGGATCACCCTGCCTCTGTGGGAGACGGCCAGTGTGTTAAAAGAAATATAGATGGCCAGTGTGTTAACCCCTTGACTGTCTCAACCCCTAATCCTGAGGTGCCTCCTGGTGTTGCAAAATTAAAAAAAAAAAAATTATTTTTTCTTATGAAATGATAGAGAATCTTTTCCCGATTGTAATGACACCAAAAGAACGGAATTTGATGGAAAACTGTCGGAATTACGCTCTCACGAAGTTAGCGACCTCGGCGATATTTATGAATCGGCGATTTCTCCCATTTTGAGCCCTATTTTCGGCTAATTCCATTGTTCCAGTTGACCAAATTCATAGCTATTTCTTTAGAGCTCCATTTTTTCTATCGATTGAGCACAAGAAACTGCCCATTTACCAATTTCAACTACCCAATAACATGGTCAGAAATTTGCAATTTGGCCAATTTCACGAAAATTAAAAAATATGATAATTTCAAAATAGCGTCCAGAATGAACAATGCAGACATTCCTGGCTCTAAAATAACGTTTTCTTTGCTCATCAGTCATGCCTCCAGGCCCCTCTGATATTACTCTTGCTTTCTATTTTGAATTTTTATTCAAACAAAAAATAGAAGATTTACTGTTATGCAGACTACTGCAATACTGTAATAAGTGTACAAATAATGTCAACCCATTCATGACTGCATATTAGAATGGCTACCTGGACATTTATTGGAAAATGACATCATTTGTTTACTTTTGAACATCGGCAAAAATCAAACATTTCCCCTAATTTGAGCTCCATTTCAAGGTTCTTTTCATAGTAAAACAAATCAAAATTACCTCTGTTTCTATAATATGTTTTCCATTCTATCAAATGAGACCAAGAAAACGAGAATACAACCATAAATACTATACGAAAATAGACCACAAAGTCGGCATTTTAATAAAAAAAAAACAGTAGCAGTTTTTTTTTCTCATTATGCACTGCATGCTACAGGATTTTTTTTATATGGTGCACACTGACCACACAGACCCATTCTCTCACATGTGGGCCTACCAGCTTTCTCCTGCTTGATATGAAGCCGCTAGAATTTATGAGTATGTATACGTCAAACACGGTGGCTCGTAAGACGTATATATACGACCAAAACAGTCAAAGGGTTAAAAGAAATATGTGTTTTCTTTACATATTTTTTTTTTTTAACAAGTCGGCCGTCTCCCACCGAGGCAGGGTGACATTACATAATTATTACATAATATTTACATAATATGGTGGTTATATCAGATTACAATAGGTGGTTTAAATTACAGTTGGGAAGGTAGTAATTGAATATGTTAGCATTTTAAAATATGTATAATTGACTTAGTAAATGTTTTTGATCATGACACAAAGTTTTACGTATAATTTAAGATAATCCAACACTCTTCATTTATTCAGTCATTCATTACTTTTTAAGTATGCAGATCCTCCCCAACTTACGTCCAAGCTCCATTCTGACCAATCGGTCGGATCTCAGAATGGTCAATTTGATCTTAGAATGTACAGGTGTGGGAATTATGTTAGCTCTATGATTATCTTGTTTTTTATCAGCCTGCTTTATTACCTTAAACTTCATTACTCACAAACTAATGTTCCTTACTTGTTGGTATCATTCGTAGGCTTCACAAATGAAAATGCTGTATGGAATGTAGCCTAGGCTAGGCCTAGGCTAGCACTGGCAGACATATGACCAAGGGTAATTTCTACATTTACATACATATTTATTATTTTTCTAATTTATGGTGTGTTTTTTTCATTTGTACGTGCAGATGAACATAAGTAGCATATGTCGGAAGTTGGAGAGGATCTGTTTAGCAATAGCTTACCTAGTAGTACAGTTGCTCAATGTGTGTGTCCTAGGATTGGCAGAGAACATGCATTGTTTTTTTGTACAAATAGGTGATTGTAGTTAAATAATTTTATATAAATTATCTACTGCAATACAGAATAGTATTAGCAAGCTCTTCAGGATTGTTTATGCGTTGTTAAACCATCCATTCATTTTATGTAGTAATAAAATATACATTTCTTGCTTTTAGGCAATGATGTGGACTCAGTTGATATTGCCACAAGAGTTGCAATGGTGCGATTTTTCAACTCACAAAACATTCTTGCCAATTTCACGGAACACACTCGCACTCTTCGTCTGTACCCAAGACCTGTGGTAGCTTTCCAGATAAACTCTTTCTTGAGGTCCAGACCCAGAGCAACACCTTTCCTCAACATGTTTGCTCGTACACAGGTGAGTTTTTTCTATATTTCATCCATTTTTTTAACGAAATGGCCATCTCCCGTCAAGGCAGGGTAACCCAAAGAAGGAAACTCACTCGTTAACATTCACTAAATTACCTTCTTTTCAGAAGTGTGCTGATATTACAATCACATTAGCCTCTGCTGACTGCAATATCTCCACCTCTCCTTCAGAGTGCAGGCACTGCCTGTTTCACCTCCAGGATTCAAGTCTGGCCAACCAGTTTCCCTGAATCCTTTAATGCAAGTTACCCTGCTCACACTTTGAGAGCACATCCATTAGAAAGACTTTTTTTTTTTTTTTACATGTTGGCCATCTCCCACCAAGGCAGGGTGACCCAAAAGAAAGAAAAACCCCCCAAAAAAGAAGAAAAACTTTCATCATCATTCAACACTTTCACCATCACTCATACATAATCACTGTCTTTGCAGAGGCATCCACATATGACAGTTCAGATAAGATAAGATAAGATAAGATTTCGTTCGGATTTTTAACCCCGGAGGTTAGCCACCCAGGATAACCCAAGAAAGTCAGTGCGTCATCGAGGACTGTCTAACTTATTTCCATTGGGGTCCTTAATCTTGTCCCCCAGGATGCGACCCACACCAGTCGACTAACACCCAGGTACCTATTTGCTGCTAGGTGAACAGGACAACAGGTGTAAGGAAACGTGTCGAAATGTTTCCACCCGCCGGGAATCGAACCCTGGCCCTCCGTGTGTGAAGCGGGAGCTTTAGCCACCAGGCCACCGGGCCACCGGGCCAGATATCCCTCCAAACTGCCAATATCCCAAACCCCTCCTTTAAAGTGAAGGCATTGTACTTCCCATTTCCAGGACTCAAATTCGGCTAACCAGTTTCCCTGAATCCTTCACAAAATATTACCCTGCTCACACTCCAACAGCTCGTCAGGTCCTAAAAACCACTTGTCTCCATTCACTCCTATCTAACACGCTCACGCACACTTGCTGGAAGTTCAAGCCCTTTGCCCACAAAACCTTCTTTACCCCCTCCCTCCATTCTTTTCAGGGCTGACCCCTACCTCGCCTTCCTTCCCCTACAGATTTTTTTTTTTTTAACAAGTTGGCCGTCTCCCACCGAGGCAGGGTGACCCAACAAGAAAGAAAATCCCCAAAAAGAAAATACTCTCATCATTATTCAACACTTACACCTCACTCATACATAATCACTGTTTTTGCAGAGATGTCCAGAACACAACAGTTTAGAAGCATATACATATGTACGTATGAAGATATACAACATATCCCTCCAAACTGCCTATATCCCAAATCATTCTACTTTGTTCCATTCTCTCTAAATGATCAAACCATCTCAACAGCTCCTCTTCAGCTCTCTGACTAATACTTTTAGTAACTCCACATCTCCTAATGTCCACACTACGAATTCTCTGCATAATATTTACACGACACATTGCCCTTAGATAGGACATGACTGCCTCCAGCTGCCTCCTCACTGCAGCATTTACAACCCATGCTTCACGCCCATATAAGAGTGTGGGTACAACTATACTCTCATACATCTCCTTTGCCTCCATGGATAACATTTTTTGTCTCCACAGATACCTCAATGTACCATTCACCTTTTTTCCTGCATCAATTCACTGACAAATCAACTCCCAAATATCTGAAAACATTCACTTCTTCCATACTCCCTCCTTCTAATGTGATATCCAGTTTTGCTTCATCTAAATTGTTTAATACCCTCATTACCTAATACAAATTTATTCTCACTGTATTATAGTAACAAGTTAAATATCACGGATTTATTAGTGAAGGGGATGGAATACGTGTTTGCATTTGTTTTGATTTTAAAATGCCATGGAAAATTATAAAAGTCTTACTTAAATTAATAATAGAAGGAAGCTGAAATTTTTGCCTCGGCCGACTTGTTGAAAAAAAAAATTTAATAAAATGACTGAATGACTGTGTAACACTGTATTGTGCTTATTGTATTATGTAAATCAGATTTCTTTGAGTTGCTTTATTAGTATAAGTTTTTGGGGTGACCTGATCTTGATGGGAGATGGTTGGTGTTAAAAAAAGTAAAATCTCTTCCAGTGTAAGGATTATAAGCATTGTTATGTTTCCATGCCAGTAATGGATTGCTGTGTTTTTATTATGTACATTAATTTTGAAGGTGAATGGTTGCTACCATTAATAATAATAATAATAATAATAATTTTTATTTTGACATGATACATGATTATACAAAGGAATATAATAGTTGGGTATACATGCCAAAAGCCCCTTTGTATGCAGTGCATTTTGGGATCTAAGTCAGTGGTTGTTAACCTTTTTTTTTGGGTAGCAACCCAAAATCCTGTCGAAAATCTACTATTATATGTAAAGTACTAAACCCATGTGGGTTATTCATTGCAAGATGTGGTGGAAGCTTTATCCTCCATCCACTGAGCACCAGACAGATGCTCTTCCTGTTTGTACTCATCTATCTGCCCAAAATGCCTCGGTATGATAGTGGCTATCTTTGTGCTTAGCAAATCAAAATTGTAATTACACATTGTAACCTTTACAGAGAAATAAACTTTACTTTACTAATTTGCAACAACAGTGAAAAATTATCTAGGTAAATGGCATTATTTTATTAATGTTATTAATAAAAGGAAATCATAATGAATATCCATAAGAAATATAACAGCTATTCAGTAGGTGGATTGGGGTATCAGTAGAGATGTATCAATAATCACTGAGATTCCTGGCACTGCATACTTTTAAGGAGCTCCTTAAATCAGGGTGATTTAGATGACAGACTGCATCTTATGTGAACATCACCTTTTATTAATGGTAAGAATGAGTTGCACATTTCCATATATTTGATCATCATAATGTAATTCAGAAATAATAATTTGTATTTGCAGGCAGTAGAATTTCTAGCAGAGTGGTCCCTAACCCCTTCAAATATGGCCTTTCTAAGGGTAAACACCGGAGTCTTTGATCCTACGTTAATAGGCGATAAGAGCAAGTGGTATGCCCACACCCTTGAGCCCATTGGATTCCGTGTTTGGCAGGATGGCAGCTCCCTTGGTGCAACCCTGAGAGCAGGCACACGCGTTGACAATCCTCCCACTGGTTTGTTCACTTTTTTAGTGTTCATTATTAATGTTATTTTTATTTGTGGGGCTTTTGGGTGCTGATGGAGTTTGATAGTTTTCCTTGCTGCCCTTGGTGCCAGGCTTGTGTGAATTGTCTAGAATTTAATTGAATGATGGCAGTTTTTTGTTGAGTTACAATGGTTTTAAGGTAATTTGCTGGTAAGGATAGATTATAGAGTAGTATAAAGTGAGTAATATTGTTTGAGGTACATAATAATGTATATCTGAATGAATGAATGCTGTTTTAGAAATATTCTTAGATGTATGCTGTTTTTTTTTTTTAAACAAGTCGGCCATCTCCCACTGAGGCAGGGTGACCCAAAAAGAAAGAAAATCCCCAAAAAGAAAATACTTTCATCATCATTCAACACTTTCACCTCACTCACACATAATTACTGTTTTTGCAGAGGTGCTCAGAACACAACAGTTTAGCAGCATATACGTATAAAGATACACAACATATCCCTCCAAGCTGCTAATATCCCGAAACCCCTCCTTTAGAGTGCAGGCATTGTACTTCCCATTTCCAGGACTCAAGTCCGGCTATATAAAAATAACCGGTTTCCCTGAATCCCTTCACTAAATATTACCCTGCTCACACTCCAACAGATCATCAGGTCCCAAATACCATTCATCTCCATTCACTCCTATCGAACACGCTCATACACGCCTGCTGGAAGTCCAAGCCCCTCGCCCACGAAACCTCCCTTACCCCTTCCTTCCAACCTTTTCGAGGACGCCCCCTACCCCGCCTTCCTTCCCCTACAGATTTATATGCTCTCCATGTCATTCTACTTTGATCCATTCTCTCTAAATGACCAAACCACCTCAACAACTCCTCTTCAGCCCTCTGACTAATACTTTTATTAACTCCACACTTTCTCCTAATTTCCACACTCCGAATTTTCTGCATAATATTTACACCACACATTGCCCTTAAACAGGACATCTCCACTGCCTCTAACCACCTCCTCGCTGCTCCATTCACAACCCAAGCTTCACACCCATATAAAAGTGTTGGTACTACTATGCTTTCATAACACTTATATGCACTAATTCCAGGCTTACTTGACCAAAAGAAACTGAATTTTATGAAATTCTCTTTGCTTGTTACTTGATTTTTGTTCTTTTTGGATATTTCAGATGAGAGTGGGAGTGACTCAGAGGGTGGGGAAAGCACCAGTAGCTCCTATTCTTCTTTAAGTGATTTTGTGTCAGAAATGCAGTCTTCTGACCTCTCCCCAGGTACTACTCAATGAAATATTTAATTGTTGATAAGTTATATTACATTTTGTTGCTCAGCACCCTTATTATATAAGTTCTTCATTCTGTTTTTTAAAAGCATTTCTGTATGAAGTTTAGGAACCAGTCATTGTATTTGGTGTTAAATGTGCAGTTTTAAGCAGTTCTCACCAACCTGTCTTCCAATAAGTTTTCATTTTATCAAACTTTACAATGCATTGATTAGTACACAGTTCATCCAGAAAAATTATATACAGTATTAGTTTTTCTAGGTTAGGTTAGGCTAACCTGGTATATCATGAATTAACATATACGTACGTATTTATATACGTAGGTGGGGATATAGTTTTGGAGTGGTTGGTGCAATTATTTAATAAATGTATGGAAGAGGGTAAGGTACCTAGGGATTGGCAGAGAGCATGCATAGTTCCTTTGTATAAAGGCAAAGGGGATAAAAGAGAGTGCAAAAATTATAGGGGGATAAGTCTGCTGAGTATACCTGGTAAAGTGTATGGTAGAGTTATTATTGAAAGAATTAAGAGTAAGACGGAGAATAGGATAGCAGATGAACAAGGAGGCTTTAGGAAAGGAGGGGTGTGTGGACCAGGTGTTTACAGTGAAACATATAAGTGAACAGTATTTAGATAAGGCTAAAGAGGTCTTTGTGGCATTTATGGATTTGGAAAAGGCGTATGACAGGGTGGATAGGGGGCAATGTGGCAGATGTTGCAAGTGTATGGTGTAGGAGGTAGGTTACTGAAAGCAGTGAAGAGTTTTTACGAGGATAGTGAGGCTGAAGTTAGAGTATGTAGGAAAGAGGGAAATTATTTCCCAGTAAAAGTAGGCCTTAGACAAGGATGTGTGATGTCACCGTGGTTGTTTAATATTTTTATAGATGGGGTTGTAAGAGAAGTAAATACGAGGGTCTTGGCAAGAGGCGTGGAGTTAAAAGATAAAGAATCACACACAAAGTGGGAGTTGTCACAGCTGCTCTTTGCTGATGACACTGTGCTCTTGGGAGATTCTGAAGAGAAGTTGCAGAGATTGGTGGATGAATTTGGTAGGGTGTGCAAAAGAAGAAAATTAAAGGTGAATACAGGAAAGAGTAAGGTTATGAGGATAACAAAAAGATTAGGTGATGAAAGATTGAATATCAGATTGGAGGGAGAGAGTATGGAGGAGGTGAATGTATTCAGATATTTGGGAGTGGTCGTGTCAGCGGATGGGTCTATGAAAGATGAGGTGAATCATAGAATTGATGAGGGGAAAAGAGTGAGTGGTGCACTTAGGAGTCTGTGGAGACAAAGAACTTTGTCCTTGGAGGCAAAGAGGGGAATGTATGAGAGTATAGTTTTTACCAACGCTCTTATATGGGTGTGAAGCATGGGTGATGAATGTTGCAGCGAGGAGATGGCTGGAGGCAGTGGAGATGTCATGTCTGAGAGCAATGTGTGGTGTGAATATAATGCAGAGAATTCATAGTTTGGAAGTTAGGAGGAGGTGCGGGATTACCAAAACTGTTGTCCAGAGGGCTGAGGAAGGGTTGTTGAGGTGGTTCGGACATGTAGAGAGAATGGAGCGAAACAGAATGACTTCAAGAGTGTATCAGTCTGTAGTGGAAGGAAGGCGGGGTAGGGGTCGGCCTAGGAAAGGTTGGAGAGAGGGGGTAAAGGAGGTTTTGTGTGCGAGGGGCTTGGACTTCCAGCAGGCATGCGTGAGCGTGTTTGATAGGAGTGAATGGAGACAAATGGTTTTTAATACTTGACGTGCTGTTGGAGTGTGAGCAAAGTAACATTTATGAAGGGGTTCAGGGAAACCGGCAGGCCGGACTTGAGTCCTGGAGATGGGAAGTACAGTGCCTGCACTCTGAAGGAGGGGTGTTAATGTTGCATTTAAAAAACTGTAGTGTAAAGCACCCTTCTGGCAAGACAGTGATGGAGTGAATGATGGTGAAAGTTTTTCTTTTTCGGGCCACCCTGCCTTGGTGGGAATCGGCCAGTGTGATAATAAAAGATAATAAATTTATATATAGCTAACCACTAATTACACAATTACATAAACTAAGTATATTAAGGAAAGGTTTAGCTTCAATAAATTGGTTGAATAAGGTTTCACTGGTAGGTGATAGCACATGAGCAGTTTACCTATATATGAGTGGTGGTATATTGGCTCTTCCTCGTGCTTTGCTTTTTACCGGATTTGTATCGAAGTTAATTCTATAGAATTAGCCTGTATCGCCTTTTATGTCTTTGAACCTGTTAGCATAATACAGTTGTTTGAATTTTTTTATTGACCTGGTGAACTTCATTGTATTTATTTTTTGCTAGGTTTTGGGCATGAAGCCTATTCTGTATTTTTTTTCTTAGGCAAACATTTTGTCAGTGGAATTGAGGCTGCTGTTGATTAGCTATAGGCTGGTTAATCTTTTGAACCTGTTGGCTTTCAGGATGTGGAGCAGCAACAGAAAAAGAGAAAGCTACATTATCGTCTGGTCTAGACCCTCGATCTGTCTTTCACCCTCCATCCTGTCTTCAGCTCCCTGGAGCTGCTTCCTCAGATTCTGGTAAGTTGCTGTCCAAAATTTACTCATTTGTTAAGTTATCTTCAGTTTTCCTTGGCATTGTGCCCTCTCTTTCATTTCTTTTAAGTGTACTGTTGTTCAGGTGTAAATCTTCTATGCTCTTCAAGTGTAAATTCTTTTATGGATTCTTTAGCCTAATTTCTCTAATACAGTGGACCCTCGACATTTGATACTAATCCGTTCCTGAGAGCTATCGAATGTCGAAAATATCGAAAGTCGAATTAATTTTCCCCATAAGAAATAATGGAAATCAAATTAATCCATGCAAGACACCCAAAAGTATGAAAAAATAAATTTTGCCACATGAAATATTAAGTTTAATGCAATAGAATAATTGCAATAACAACAATAACAATAGAATAATTGACACTTACCTTTAATGAAGATCTGGTGATGATTGATGGGATGGGAGGAGGGGAGAGTGGGGATGGTGTTAGTGTTTAGAAGGGGAAGCCCCTTCCATTAGGACTTGAGGTAGCAAGTCCTTTTTCGGGGTTACTTCCCTTCTTTTAATGCCACTAGGACCAGCTTGAGAGTCACTGGACCTCTGTCGCCGTTCCTTCAAGATTTGTCTAAAATGGGCCATAACATTGTCATTGTAATAGTCACCAGCACAGCTTGCAATAGCTGTGTTAGGGTGATTTTCATCCATAAAGGTTTGCAGTTCAACCCACTTTGCACACATTTCCTTAATTTTTGAAGGAGGCACAATGGATTCCACAACTGGCATAGGCTTCTCAGGGTTAGCCCCAAACCCTTCAAAATCTTTCTTAATTTCCATACTAATTCTCACCCTTTTTACCACAGGGATGGCACTAGAAGCTTTCTTGGGGCCCATGGTGACTTATTTTGCAGAAACAAGCACCAAAAACAGTGATAATATGGATAATATGGAATGTACCGAATGTATCCTTAGATGCACGCACACTAGCTGGCTTGTAAACACTGGCACACACGGGGCAGTTCAGGCCACACGTGGACACATCTCGTACGAATCGTATCGAATGTCGGGCGAAATTTTTGCGTTAAAATGCATCGAATGTCGGATTTATTGAATGTCAATGCCATTGAATGTCGGGGGTCCACTGTATTGTACTTCCCTTTGACTAGTTGTTAGGTAATTGCCTTTCCTTTTACCTCAGTTGCTTGGCCTTTCATTGACATCTTTCTTATTAGATGGTTAGGCAGTAGATTAGCTGCTCCTTTTCTTTTACCATGATCTTTTGATGCTTCAGTGACAGCCATGTAAAAAATTTGATCTCTTTCCTAGCATCACTCAGTATACTCAAACCCTGCCAGTTTGGTTTCAGGCCAAATAAAAATACTAATGCTTGACTTCCATTATGCAGCTCTTGAGAATAATTAATATTCACTGGGCCTCAAAGCTACTGTTAAAAAGCCTCTCTTTACCTTAACCCTTTGGCTGTTGCAACCCCAAATCCTGAAGTGTCTCCTGGTGTCGCAAAATTTTTGGAAATTTTTTTTTTTCTTATGAACTGATAGAGAATCTTTTCCCAATGGTAATGACACCAAAAGTACAAAATTTGATTGAAAACTTACTGAATTACGCTCCCGCGGAGTTAGTGATCTCGGCGATATATACGCATCAGCGATTTCACTGACTTTGAGCCTTATTTTCAGCCAATTCCATTGTTCCAGTTGACCAAACTCATAGCTATTTCTTTAGTACTCCATTTTTTCTATCAATTGAGTACAAGAAACCACCTATTTAACAATTTCAACTACCCAATAAAGTGGTCAGAAATTGGCAACTTGGTCAATTTCACGCAAATTAAAAGAGATGCTAATTTCAAAATAGGGTCCAGAATAAATGATGCAGACATTCTTGGCACTAAAATAACATATCCTCTGTTCATTAGTCATGTCTCCATTCCCCTCTTATATTACTCTTGTTTTCTGTTTTGATATTTTATTCACACAAAAAATAGAAGATTTACTGTTATGCAGACTACTGCATTATTGTAAAAATGGTATAAATAATATCAGTGCACTAGTGAAAGAATATTAGACTCCCCAGTTGGTGTGTATTGGACGTGTGGTGTGATTTGCTTACTCTTGAACATTGGTAAAAATCGAACATTTCTGCTACTTTGAGCTCAATTTCAAGGTCGTTTTCATCGAGAAAATAATCAAAATCATCTCTATTTCTGTAATATGTTTTCCATTCTTATCAAATGAGACCAAGAAAACGAGAATACAACCATAAATACTATACGAAAATACACCTCAAAATCGGTGTTTTAATCCAAAAACACGGTCAGAGTTTTTTTTTTCCCATTATGCACTGCGTGCTGCAAGATCGTTTTTATACAGTGCACACTGAGCACACAGACCCATTCTCTCACATGTGGGCCTACCAGCTTTCTCCTTCTTGATTTGAAGCCACTAGAATTATTGAGTATACGTATATACGTCTGAAACACTGGCTCGTAAGACGTTTATATATGGTCGAAACAGTCAAAGGGTTAATGTGATCTTGAAAACTATTTATTATGCCAAATTAATACTGAAACCCTGTCTTTCACCCATTATTTTCCCTGTTCTTGTTCCATCATTGTACCCTGCCTTGACAAAAAAACTGAAAGATAGACTGCAAATCACCCAGAACAAAATGGTAAGATTCATCCTGGACCTAGGTTCAAGAGAACATGTAGGCCAGGATGAATTACAGCAGCTGGATATGCTGAATGTTGAAGACAGAGTAAAACAACTGAAGTTAAATCATGTATTTAAAATTGCTCACAAACAGTGTCCAGAATATCTTGCTGCCAATTTTGTCAAGGTTGGGAACCAAAGCAATCATAGTACTAGGGGGAGAGAGCACAACTTTGTAGTACCCACAGTCAGTGGCCAGGCTTCAAACACCTTTTATTGTACAGCAGTAAAGGAATGGAACAGACTGCCTGCACATGTCAAAGCCAGTCATAGCATGAACCAGTTCAAGAAGAGATCCAAGAGGTGTCTGATGAATGTAGCTACAGAAAAGGAGGGGAATGATTTTTTATTTTTTTAGCTAACACACGTGTAAATTTACCTTATTCCTAGTAATGACTCTCGTATTGTAGATAGTCTTAATGACCCTCGTGTAGTAGATAGTCTTTTTAGTATGATAATAAGATGTTATCTCCATTATAGAATAATAATAAGATACTTGGGACCTGACAATCTGTTGGAGTGTGAGCAGGGTAATATTTAGTGAAGGGATTCAGGGAAACCGGTTATGTTCATATAGTCGGACTTGAGTCCTGGAAATGGGAAGTACAATCCCTGCACTTTAAAGGAGGGGTTTGGGATATTGGCAGTTTGGAGGGATATGTTGTGTATCTTTATACGTATATGCTTCTAAACTGTTGTATTCTGAGCACCTCTGCAAAAGCAGTGATAATGTGTGAGTGTGGTGAAAGTGTTGAATGATGATGAAAGTATTTTCTTTTTGGGGATTTTCTTTCTTTTTTGGGCCACCCTGCCTCGGTGGGAGACGACCAACTTGTTGAAAAAAAAAAAAAAAAAAAATGAGATATCACCTTTATAGTATAATAATAAGGTAAAAGGACCCCAATGGGTTATCCTAGGTACTTTACACATATGCTGCTATGTATGATAATTCTATGTAACTGTATTTGTGTATACCTGAATAAACTTACTTACTTATATCGTTCCTATCTCATCATATTTTGTATCAGTACTATCTCATCATATTTTGTATCAATTCAGGTAACTAGCTTCATCCTTACTGTAATTTTTATTAGAAATTTATTTTGAATTACAAAACAGTATAGTAATATAAACTTTAGTCATTCTTATTCTCGTTCTCACCAATACTGATGCCAGTACTTTGGCATACCCCTAGTATTTAGTTTTTCACATGTAATTTTGTATTGTGTAAAGAACAGTTAGTCCCATGTTATAACTCTGGCATATGTCAAGGAAACATGAACCGTGTCTTGGTGTTGTCGTCGTATACTATGGGCTTTTAATGTGCTTTCAAGTGTATCCCATTTCTGTATAAACAATGTATCTTGTTAAAATAAACTTGTATTGTATCATAGCAGCATCCAGTTAAAATACAATTTCTCACCAGGTATTAAACTTTCTAAAGAACTTGTGTGAAACATTGGCCCTAACATCCCAGCAATACAATGGCACTCCTGGTCTCACATTTTAAATGTTTATTTTTTTGAAATAGGCAATCTTATTCTGTGTTTTATGATGGATAAAATTCTTGCTGTATCTGCTGAATGCAGTTGTCATGGATAAAAATAATAACATTGGATTTTCCACACTCAAGCAGCACTAAGTCATGCCGGATCTATGTCAACATCCTCATCACGATCATCATTGTCCTCTGCTGACCAGAGAGATGACGAGGATGAAGAAACTGGAGAAGGTGTAATGAAGTTGGAAGACGCTGAGAACCTCATAGCACCCACACCCACACTACATCCATTACCTCTCCGCACAGAAACACTGGTAATATGCACCACACTAAACTTATAATGAATTGAAGTGTGGCATAGTATGTGTAGATATAGCTGGGGCTTGCCAGTGTAAGGTCACCAGCTTGGTCCCTTGTTATAGTCACACAGTCTTGTATGCATACATTTTTCTGCTCGAAATGCCTAGGCCTGCTTTGTGATTAATGTTTTATAACATGTAAACTACACATTGTAATCTTTGCAAGGAAATAAACATTTTCATTTTCATTTTTTTATTTGGTAGATTTCCTCTATTGCATGAGATTATTTTATATATGGCTTTAAGGTCAGGTAATCTCTCCTGACTGACCAGAAAAACAGTGGAAAAAAATAATGACTAATATCAAGAGATGAAATCATTTCTTCATACCATTTTTTTTCCCCATTGAAGATTTCTTTACTGTAATTAACTGATACAGTAGGGCCCCGCTTTTCGGCATTTCGCCTTATGGCGTTCCGCTAATACGGAGATCTCAAATTATGGCCAAAACTTTCTATACGGCAAGCCGTCTTTCAAATACGGTGCTCACCACCCGGTTTGTTTACATTCTCCATGAGCACATCTCTCTATTCTGTCATAATAATCACCATTGGGCACATTAAATGTCTTGTTTTACGTCAATATAGACATTTTCATTAATCCATCTATGATATTTTCTTCAAAATTATATAAGAAACACATTACACAGCATATAAACATTTTATGTTTATATACTATGGAGGTATAGTAGCAGGGCAGAGGGAAAACATTACATCACTTCCCTTAATACATAACGCTTTTGTTTACACTTCTCGGCATGAATTATTCATTACTTCTCCCTTTGTTTAGGATGGCATCTAAAGGTAGTTGTTAGAAACGATTAAACTCAGTGAACATGGTATGTCGATGGTAATAATATGGCTCTGGGCTGCATTAGATATCGTGTAACTATGTAGGTATGTAGCCCAAGCGGACTACATACCTACATTATTATTATAACTGATGATTGTACGTATGTGTACCTGTACCTAAGTATGCCTTCACAAGGCGTCATATCATCTAAAAATAATGTTATATGAGAATGGGAGTGTTTCTCTTTATTTATTCTACTGTATCAACGTGGAGACAACTTGTATACAATGTAAAGTGACGAAAACCAGACGTGTTTGCCTAGTTTGTTTACATTATGTGTGGGTGGGGTGGGGAGGGCTGCCCTGGCTGGATTCCATACTTCCCAAACCTGACTTCCTACAAATAAAACTCACCTCTCACCCTACATTAAGACTACAATTTTTTTTTTTTTTTTTCAACAAGTCAGCCGTCTCCCACTGAGGCAGGGTGACCCAAAAAAGAAAGAAAATCCCCAAAAAGAAAATACTTTCATCATCATTCAACACTTTCACCACACTCGCACATTATCACTGTTTTTGCAGAAGTGCTCAGAATACACAGTTTAGAAGCATACACATATAAAGATACACAACATATCCCTCCAAACTGCCAATATCCCAAACCCCTCCTTTAAAGTGCAGGCATTGTACTTCCCATTTCCAGGACTCAAGTCCGACTATATGAAAATAACCGGTTTCCCTGAATCCCTTCACTAAATATTACCCTGCTCACACTCCAACAGATCGTCAGGTCCCAAGTACCATTCGTCTCCATTCACTCCTATCTAGCACGCTCACGCACGCTTGCTGGAAGTCCAAGCCCCTTGCCCACAAAACCTCCTTTACCCCCTCTCTCCAACCCTTTCGAGGACGACCCCTACCCCGCATCCCTTCCCCTATAGATTTATATGCTTTCCATGTCATTCTACTTTGATCCATTCTCTCTAAATAACCAAACCACCTCAACAACCCCTCTTCTGCCCTCTGACTAATACTTTTATTAGCTCCACACCTTTTCCTAATTTCCACACTCCGAATTTTCTGCATAATATTTACACCACACATTGCCCTTAAACAATACATCTCCACTGCCTCCAACCGTCTCCTCGCTGCTGTATGTACTGTATGTGCTGTATATGCATTTTATTGCTCTGGGGAGCTTTAATTAAATATCGTAGTACATTACATGTGGATGGAGTGGGGAGGGCTGCCCTGGCAGGCTACCATACCTCCCAAACCTGACTTCCTACAAATTAAACTCACCTCTCACCCTACATTTAGACTACAAATATTTTAAGGTAAGTAATGGGGGTACTGTGTGTGTATTTTACTTTTTATTGTTTTTAATGCCTAGTTCTATTGTTAACGTAATATATGTTAATGTAAACTTGTTATCTGGCATGTACATGTATATGCATTTATAAGTGGAAAAAATGGCATTATGCTTTCTGGCGGTCTTCTTTCCGGCAGCCTTTTACCTAACCTGCTGAATAAATGGGGCCCTACTGTACTTGGCTTCTTTCATGGCAAGATCAGCAGCCCAGTGCCCCCTTTCCCTTAATCATGTAGTGGAAAAAGTGTAATGATGATAAGTGCTTTATTTGTTATTGATTACAAATTGAGTTTATTTTTTGTAACTAAACTTGTTCACCTTTAGTTTTTTATCTACTGAACCTAATATTAACTTAGGTATATCATCTACTAACTTGAACACTACCGTTGTGTGTCCCATCTAAAGTATAGTTTTTAATGGAACATTACTGTCTTAGTTGTGTCTTATTGGACTTTGCTCTATCAGGTATTACAATTTTTGGTCTCATTTGATATTTCCAACTCTCATATTTTGATATAAATTGATAGTGACAGTAGAGTATTGGTACTTTAGTACAGGAATAAGAAGGGAGGAAGAGAGGAGTTGGGAACTTGGCTGCAGCTGTAATGATCAAGTTAAGGGAATTTATTTTATTTATGCTTTTTTTTCTAGTCAGATATTCTCATTTACCATAACAAGTTCTGTGTTTCTGGCCTCCATAATAATTTAAGCCATCACTGCCAAAAACATGATTTTTTTAATACAAATATCGTTGGTCTTAGAATCATTCCTAGCATTTCCATACCATCGCTGCCATAAAACAAGATTTTTATAATACATATATTGCTGATCTTGTGATCGTTGCTGCATTTCCATATTTTGCTATTGCCACGACAGGAAAAGAGTGATGAAGTCTTCACACCTGAGAGCGACTCTGCAACAACAACTCCAAAAACAGTGGTGAGCAACAACCAGTCTCCACTTCCACATATAAGCCCAACACCTTCTGTTAGTAGCGATGCCTCCATAGCAACTTCCTCTTCAGAACGTGACAGACCTGCCACTCCTCGCCCCAGGACATTCTCTAAGGGGGTCAGTTGAGTTGAGTTTTTTTTTTCCTGGATCGAGTTACCAAATATTTTTTATGATTCATTGATTCATTTGTATTCACTCACTCACTGGTTTTAAATCCCTTCAGGCTAGTCCAACACCACAGAAGCAGAGCTCCTTCAGCAGCATGCTGGCTCGAGCCTCCAGTTTTGGGTCTGGAAGCTCAGGAGGAGGACCAACGAGACAGTGCTCTCAAAACTCGCTGTTGGATCAGTTTACCTATTCTGCCAAGGAGATGATGAAGGAAAAACAAATCTCACAGGAGGGATCCTTTCTCTCACAAGTAGATAAGGTAGAAATTTATTATTATTTCTTTTTTTGGTGTTATGCTAATGTAAAGCTTTGTTGTTTTGATGCACAGAGAATTTTATGTACGAAGCAGGTTTGCAGGTTAAGTGTACAGATTTATTTTATACTATTATTTTAATTAGGTGTAATAGAGCAACAGAATGCAACTTCATAAATTATGCCACCAGGAATTATGCACAATACTTCAGGTACAACACCAGTTTTCTGGCAATGGATGGTCAAGCACCTCTTTTAGGTCAGGCAGAATTTGAGGGCAGCCACAGATAGTGTTGTGTATAGCATGCGCTCACTTACATTGTTTATGCTACAGTTGTTGGTAGGTCATCCCTTGATTTTTGTGTAAATCTTAGCATATTTTGCTAACATTTAATCCAAGCTATGGCTAGGGCTAATAGCATTATTAGCTTGTCAATACCTGTAGCTGTTGATAAGCTAGAGCAACATTCCTTTGTGGCAGAATGAGCTTATGAAGTTTTATTTGGTGCATGAAAAATCATACAGAAAAAGTTCAAAGCACATGAAATATCTTCTCTTACATGAATAACCCACACATGGGAGAGGGGAGCTTATGACGACGTTTCAATCTGACTTGGACCATTTACAAAGTCACAGTAAATGGTCCAAGTCGGACTGAAATGTCATCGTAAGCTCCCCTCTCCTATGTGCAGGTTTTTTTGTGTGTTGTTCCAGTCATGGTATTGTGCCTTTTTGTTACTTATGAAATGTTTAAGGAGATATCCAAGAAGAATGTGTCATAGCAGGAGACCTACATCTGTAAATCCTGTGGCTTTAACTTCAAGTACCCCAGATGTCCCTTTGCTGCAAGATCACAAATCCATGATGAAACAGTTCACTAGGAAAAAGAGACTAATCCTGACAGCTTTCAACTTCCAGACCTTTGTGATTACCTATACTTTTCCAGTAAATTTTTAAAATTTTCCACTTTAGGTGTGGTAGTACTGCAACATTTTTTGTAGGAAGAGTAATTAATAAACCTGTTCCATTTATGATGCTGTTTAATCTAAGTTTAAACATAAGAACATAAACATTAGAAAGGAGGAACACTGTAGTAGGCCTATTGGCCCATACTTGGCAAGTCCTTCACAAATTCAACCCACTAGTAGTCCATGGTGCTTTAGAGTCACTAGACATATATGCTTAGTGGGTCATAGGTGTATTGTTGAATTATTATTACGTGATCTTTCTTAGTCTGGCAAAATCAATATTCTGGGAAGGCTTAGGATTAGGAACCAAGGGTGCCAGAAAATCAGTGTTGTACCTGTATTGTTGTACTTTTGAACTATAGTATTTTAAGTGTGTATATAAAGACAAAACAACATGTCTGGTATATGTCTCACTGATTTTTTTTTTTTTTTTTTTTTTTTTTTTTTTTTCAACAAGTCAGCCGTCTCCCACCGAGGCAGGGTGACCCAAAAAAGAAAGAAAATCCCCAAAAAGAAAATACTTTCATCATCATTCAACACTTTCACCACACTCGCACATTATCACTGTTTTTGCAGAGGTGCTCAGAATACAGCAGTCTAGAAGCATAAACATATAAAGATACACAACATATCCCTCCAAACTGCCAATATCCCAAACCCCTCCTTTAAAGTGCAGGCATTGTACTTCCCATTTCCAGGACTCAAGTCCGACTATATGAAAATAACCGGTTTCCCTGAATCCCTTCACTAAATATTACCCTGCTCACACTCCAACAGATCGTCAGGTCCCAAGTACCATTCGTCTCCATTCACTCCTACTAACACGCTCACCACGCTTGCTGGAAGTCCAAGCCCCTTACCCACAAAACCTCCTTTACCCCCCTCCTCCAACCCTTTCGAGGACGACCCCTATCCCGCCTGCCTTCCCCTATAGATTTATATGCTTTCCATGTCATTCTACTGTGTCCATTCTCTCTAAATGCCCAAAACCACCTCAACAACCCCTCTTCTGGGCCCCCTGACTAATACTTTTATTAACTCCACACCTTCTCCTAATTTCCACACTCCGAATTTTCTGCATAAAAATTTACACCACACATTGCCCTTAAACAGGACACTCTCCGCTGCCTCCCAAAACCCTCCCCTCGCTGCTGCATTTTCCACCCAAGCTTCACACCCATATAAGAGTGTTGGTACTACTATACTTTCAATACATTCCCTTCTTTGCCTCCATAGATAACGTTTTTGACTCCACATATACCTCAACGCACCACTCACCTTTTTTCCCTCATCAATTCTATGATTAACCTCATCCTTCATAAATCCCATCCGCCGACACGTCAACTCCCAAGTATCTGAAAACATTCACTTCTTCCATACTCCTCCTCCCCAATTTGATATCCAATTTTTCTTTATCTAAATCTTTTGGGAAAACCCCTCATCCCCTTTACTCTTTTCTATGTTCACTTTAAACTTCTACCTTTACAACTTTCCAAACTCATCCACTAACCTTTGCAATTTTCTTTAGAATCTCCCATAAGCACAGTATCATCAGCAAAAAGTAACTGTGTCAATTTCCCCATTTGAATTTGTTTCCCCCATAATTTAATCCCACCCCTCTCCCAAACACCCTAGCATTTACTTCCTTTACAACCCCATCTATAAATATATTAAACAACCATGGTGGACATTACACATCCCTGTCTAAGACCTACTTTTACCGGGAAGTAGTCCCCCCTTCTTCTTACACACCCTAACCTGAGCCTCACTACCCTCATAAAAACTTTTTTACAGCATTTAATAACTACCACCTATTCCATATACTTGCAACATCCCACATTGCTCCTCTATCCACTCTATCATATGCTTTTCTAAATCCATAAATGAAATTTAAAAACTTCCCTATCTTTATCAAAATACTGTTCACATATATGCTTCAATGAAAAACACCTGATCTACACATCCCTACCCACTCTAAAACCTCCTTGCTCATCCGCAATCCTACATTCTGTCTTACCTCTAATTCTTTCAATTATAACCCTACCGTACACTTTTCCTGGTATACTCAGTAAGCTTATTCCTCTATAATTTTTACAGTCTCTTTTGTCCCTTTCCCTTATATAAAGGGACTATACATCTCTCTGCCAATCCCTAGTACCTTCCCCCTTTCATACATTTATTAAACAAAAGTACCAACCACTCCAACACTATATCCCCCCCTGCTTTTAACATTTCTATCATGATCCCATCAGTTCCAGCTGCTTTACCCCCTTTCATTTTACGTAATGCCTCACGTACCTCCCCCACACTTTTCATCTTTCTCTTCTTCACTCCTAAAAGAGTATACCTCCCTGACCAGTGCATGAAATTACTGCCTCCCGTTTCTTCCTTAACATTTAAAAGTTCCTCCAAAATATTCTCGCCATCTACCCCAAAACCTCCATCTCCCCATCTACTAACTCCCCCACTCTGTTTTTTAACTGACAAATCCATTTTTTTCCCTAGGCTTTCTTAAAATTGTTTAACTCACTCCAAAATTTTTTCTTATTTTCTTAAAATTTTTGACAGTGCCTCTCCCACTCTATCATCTGCTCTCCTTTTGCACTCTCTCACCACTCTCTTTACCTTTCTTTTACTCTCCATATACTCTGCTCTTCTATAAACTTCTGCTTTGTAAAAAAACCTCTCATAAGTACCTTTTTCTCTTTTTTCACACCCTTTTACTTCATCATTCCACCAAATCACTCCCCTTTCCTCCTGCCCCCACCCTCTATAACCACAAACTTCTGCCCCACATTCTAATACTGCATTTTTAAAACTATTCCAACCCTCTTCAAACCCCCCCACTATCATCTTTGCACTAGCCCACCTTTCTGCCAAAAGTCGCTTATATTCACCCGAACTTCCTCCTCCCTTAGTTTATTTCACTTTCACCTCCCTCTTACTTGTTGTTGCCACCTTCCTGTTTTCCCATCTACCTCTTACTCTAACTGTAGCTACAACTAAATTAATGATCCGATATATCAGTGCCCCCCTATAAACATGTACATCCTGGAGCCACCCATCAAACCTTTTATCCACCAATACATAATCTAATAAACTACTTTCATTACGTGCTACATCATACCTTGTATATTTATTTAATCTCTTTTTCATAAAATATGTATTACTTATTACCAAATTTCTTTCTACACATAGCTCAATTAAAGGCTCCCCATTTACATTTACCCCTGGCACCCCAAATTTACCTACTACTCCCTCCATAACATTTTTACCCACTTTAGCATTAAAATCCCCAACCACTATTACTCTCACACTTGATTCAAAACTCCCCACGCATTCACTCAACATTTCCCAAAATCTCTCTCTCTCCTCTACACTTCTCTCTTCTCCAGGTGCATACACGCTTATTATAACCCACTTTTCACATCCAATCTTTATTTTACTCCACATAATCCTTGAATTAATACATTTATAGTCCCTCTTTTCCTGCCATAGCTTATCCTTCAACATTATTGCTACTCCTTCTTTAGCTCTAACTCTATTTGAAACCCCTGACCTAATCCCATTTATTCCTCTCCACTGAAACTCTCCCACCCCCTTCAGCTTTGTTTCACTTAAAGCCAGGACATCCAGCTTCTTCTCATTCATAACATCCACAATCATCTCTTTCTTATCATCTGCACAACATCCACGCACATTCTGATGAAGTTGTATATATTATTGTGAATAAAGTATTAACCCTGAGATCAGATTTCCTGTGTTACAAGAGCATATTTTTTGGATAGAACTTCGGAAATAAAAATGAAATCAAAAGAAAACGTGATTTTATGGTGTGTTGAAGCTAAAACAAACAAACACACAACTCTATTTCTATAAAACATAGTACAGCATACAATTGACATAGGATTAATTGACATGTATAAACTACATGTACTTGATAGAAAGCCCTTTCTTATGCAGAGTATTTGAGGCAGCCCTAAAACTGACTTATAATTATTGCATAGTTTACAATTAGGTTAGTTTGCTAGAATGCCATGGTTTGCAAGATAAAGCTGGTGAAAAAGGATTACTCATTGACAGCAGTAGTGTATATGTGTTTTGTTTAACAATTTATTGATGCCAAATAAATTGTTAAACAAATAACTTAGACATTTGATACCAAATGTCTGACACTATGTGCACTAGTTTCTTATCATAATACATATGTTTTAAGGCATTTTAGTCCTCATAATATGAGGAGATGCATAGTCTGACATAGCCCAGCATGAAATATTCACTGTAAATTAGTATGGACAATTGAGTCCTGGAGATGGGAAGTACAGTGCCTGCACTCTGAAGGAGGGGTGTTAATGTTGCAGTTTAAAAACTGTAGTGTAAAGCACCCTTCTGGCAAGACAGTGATGGAGTGAATGATGGTGAAAGTTTTTCTTTTTTGGGCCACCCTGCCCTGGTGGGAATCAGCCAGTGTGATAATAAAACAAAAATAATTGTTTTTTCTTAATTTTGCTGCTCTGGTCTTCTGACACTATGTACAAGGAAATTTTATGGTATTACAATTGTTTCAAGGTGTGGTACTCCTTGAAACATGGAAATAATCACACTGTTTGACTTTCTTGGGTTACTCTGAGCCAAAATTTCTATACTGGGGAGTCTAGGGGTGGCTATCTAGTTGGAAGGGGAAAGTACGAGGCTTATTTTGAAGCATTATTAGTATTATTATTTTGGGAGGGTTTTGGGGACTAAGGGAACTTTGGGGGACTTAATTCACCATCATCCCTTGGCATCAACCCTGATTCTGAGTCAATTATAAATTATTATACGTATTTAAGGAGAAACACTAAATCCATATGGGTCCTATAGTTCTTGTGGAATGAAAGGTAATTAGTTTCAATCCAAGGAAGAAAAAGACAGGTCCAATTCCTTGGATCAAGAGCCCTTCACCAACATCAAGGAATATTATTATTGTTATATTTAGGGAAGTGCTAAAACCATAGGGATCCCTAAAGAGTAAAAAGTCACAATACCGCAGCTGGAACAGTTTACCAAAAACCCACACTTAGAAGAGGAACCTCACGATAATATTTCAGTCTATCCTGGATCATTGTGACTTAACATAATGGTCCAGGAGGGACTTAAACATTTTCCTATGGTTCCTTTCCTAAGTGCAGACTTTTGGTCATACAGCACCTGAGGACTAAATCTCACTTCAGACATCTAGGATTAGTAGGGCAACATGAACCCTCTCCACACATTTCTAAATAAACAAGAAACAATATCTACATTGAATATTGTCAAAAACATCATTAATATTGATGATTTAAGAATTTAAAATCCAACTTTTTTTTTTTGAGGTATATATATGGAACATAACCCAATTTTTCCCCTTAAGTTGTTCACTCTTCCCTTTGCATTTTCACCTATACCTCCATTTTTCTTGAAAGTAACTCACATGAAAGGTGGTTGACTACTGAATATATATTTTTTTGTATTTCAACAACAATTTTCCACCAAAGCAGGGTGACCCAAATTTGAAATATAGAATAGTATATATGGTAGGCTTCACCCTTCCTACTGAGTTTATTTTGCTTCTTCATAATTGAAATATGTAAACAGTATATTATATACTGAAAATTAGTTTTAGAAATCAGAATTTTTTCACTGTTGTTTTCTTGAGCCACAGTAATTTATGTATTGCCTCACCTGTCAACACATGTACTACTTTTTAGCACTGAGGAGCACTAAACTTGTTTCACAGTTAACGGAACAGTTCCGTAGTCAAGTGACGGAACGTCTAGAGGTAGTGAAGCAGAGTAGTGGTGAGGAAGGGTCGCTGCTCAACCAGATGGACAAGGTACCATGCTACCAGCTGATGCTTTCACATGTTTTAGTGTCAACGTTTGGTGGTGGTGGTGTTGTTGGTGTTGGTGTTGCATGGACTAGTGTTTACTCACTCATTTTCTTTCCTCAGCAGAACATCCTTGTTGTGAAAGATCCTGCACCAGGTTGCTGCTAACTTAAGTTTCTCCTTAGCTGTTCTCTGTGCACCCTTTTCTGCATATTATTATTGTTATTGCAGGAAGCAAGTGATGTGCATGATATGATCTAGCTAGCTAAATCTTTTCTGTCTCCATATTAAAGTATCAATCATTTACAAAATTTTGATTTCCAACAAACTGGAAACAAAAAATTATCTTAGTAAAAATAAGGTATTGAAAATGCTATTTATGACTGTTTCTTCTAAGGTATTAGTATCATGCAGTATTTACAAATATAAATTTTTAGCATATGTTACATGAATAAAAATTTAATTACAGTATAGGTATTGTACATCATAATATGATGTTGTACATATAATATGATGTTGTACATATAATATGATGTTGTAGATCAAAATATGATGTTGTACATCATAATATGATGTACATCTTATATAATATGATATTGTACATCATAATATTATTTTGTACATCATAATATGATTGTCGAAATACTGTAATTACTTGCTTTATTTATAAGTATCAAATTTAATGTTAGGACTATATACTCAGTCATTAATAACAAAATAATAAAGATTAAATTTAGTGAGTAAGAACAATCAACATGTTTTCATAAATGAATGGTAACACTGTAGTTATTTTAGATCTTGATGCATGAGTACTCATATTGCTTTGTTTGTGGGAGCACTATTTAATATATTCTCTATTGACAGTCTGTTATTCAAATACTCTAGGAATTATATTATTCAGTCGCACCTCATATATCCGGGTACTGCACAATCAGGACTCAGGTTAACCAAAGGGATTTTTCTGGCTCTTCCTGTCTCCATTTAACCCTTAAGCTGTGAATGGTTTGGAAACCTTGCCTTCCTTTTAGTTGGGAGCTTCTTGTGTTTTTCTTACAATATGGAGAGTTTAAAAATCGGTACGTAAAATGTGAATTTATTACCTTTGTGTAAAATGTAAAGCTTGCTTTTGTGATGCAGTGTGGTGACAATTGGTGTCGGTTTCAAATTTATAGCAAGGGTGAATGAAAGAAAACGGCTTTAAGGTGTGAAAAATTGATTAAAATCATTTTCAGAAAAATTCCTGTTGTTGGTTTTGCTTTTCAATTTGGATTTTGGGCCTCGTTGGGATATGGCCAGTTTGTTGAAAGAAGAAAGATCTTTAACTACTGTGTTGCTCTAATCATGTTGATAGTGATGCCCTTAATAAAAAACCTTATTAGGTAGAGAGATTTAGGAATGGGAGATCCAACTTAAGGCACCTAAAATGGAGGAATATAGCAAATAATATTGTTGCAGTAATAACACCAGGAGGCAGCTCTGATGAAAACTCACACTCACACGAGCTTTTAAATCTCTGCACAAAATTCAATTTAAACCAGCAAATAATAGAGCCTACTAGACTGGAGAATACACTAGACCTCATCTTCACTAACAATGATGATCTGATAAGAAATGTCACCATATCAAAAACAATATACTCAGATCACAACATAATTGAGGTTCAGACATGTATGCGTGGAGCCCCAGACCGACAAAATGAGACTAGTCACGAGGGAGCATTCACCAAATTCAACTTCAATAACAAAAACATAAAGTGGGACCAAGTAAACCAAGTCCTAACCGATATAAGCTGGGAAGATATACTAAGCAACACAGACCCAAACTTATGCCTAGAAACGATTAACTCGGTGGCACTCGATGTATGCACAAGGCTTATTCCTCTAAGAAAAAGGAGGAGTAGATGTAAAATAGAAGAGACAGGCGCTCCCTTTACAGGCGATGGAAAAGAATAACAGAGCGGCTAAAAGAGGTCAATATATCTGAAATGCGCAGGGAGACACTGGTCAGAGAATAGCAAGCATCGAACTTAAGCTAAAAGAATCCTTTAGGAGTCAGGAATCGCGGGAAGAACTAAAAGCCATAAATGAAATCGAAAGAAACCCAAAGTATTTCTTCTCCTATGCCAAATCAAAATCGAGAACAACGTCCAGTATTGGGCCCCTACTTAAACAAGATGGGTCCTACACAGATGACAACAAGGAAATGAGTGAGCTACTCAAGTCCCAATATGACTCAGTTTTTAGCAAGCCGCTAACCAGACTGAGAGTCGAAGATCAAAATGAATTTTTTATGAGAGAGCCACAAAATTTGATTAACACAAGCCTATCCGATGTTATCCTGACGCCAATGACTTCGAACAGGCGATAAATGACATGCCCATGCACTCTGCCCCAGGGCCAGACTCATGGAACTCTGTGTTCATCAAGAACTGCAAGAAGCCCCTATCACGAGCCTTTTCCATCCTATGGAGAGGGAGCATGGACACGGGGGTCGTCCCTCAGTTACTAAAAACAACAGACATAGCCCCACTCCACAAAGGGGGCAGTAAAGCAACAGCAAAGAACTACAGACCAATAGCACTAACATCCCATATCATAAAAATCTTTGAAAGGGTCCTAAGAAGCAAGATCACCACCCATCTAGAAACCCATCAGTTACACAACCCAGGGCAACATGGGTTTAGAACAGGTCGCTCCTGTCTGTCTCAACTACTGGATCACTACGACAAGGTCCTAAATGCACTAGAAGACAAAAAGAATGCAAATGTAATATATACAGACTTTGCAAAAGCCTTCGACAAGTGTGACCATGGCGTAATAGCGCACAAAATGCGCGCTAAAGGAATAACAGGAAAAGTCGGTCGATGGATCTATAATTTCCTCACTAACAGAACACAGAGAGTAGTCGTCAACAGAGTAAAGTCCGAGGCAGCTACGGTGAAAAGCTCTGTTCCACAAGGCACAGTACTAGCTCCCATCTTGTTCCTCATCCTCATATCTGACATAGACAAGGATGTCAGCCACAGCACCGTGTCTTCCTTTGCAGATGACACCCGAATCTGCATGACAGTGTCTTCCATTGCAGACACTGCAAGGCTCCAGGCGGACATCAACCAAATCTTTCAGTGGGCTGCAGAAAACAATATGAAGTTCAACGATGAGAAATTTCAATTACTCAGATATGGTAAACATGAGGAAATTAAATCTTCATCAGAGTACAAAACAAATTCTGGCCACAAAATAGAGCGAAACACCAACGTCAAAGACCTGGGAGTGATTATGTCGGAGGATCTCACCTTCAAGGACCATAACATTGTATCAATCGCATCTGCTAGAAAAATGACAGGATGGATAATGAGAACCTTCAAAACTAGGGAGGCCAAGCCCATGATGACACTCTTCAGGTCACTTGTTCTATCTAGGCTGGAATATTGCTGCACTCTAACAGCACCTTTCAAGGCAGGTGAAATTGCCGACCTAGAAAATGTACAGAGAACTTTCACGGTGCGCATAACGGAGATAAAACACCTCAATTACTGGGAGCGCTTGAGGTTTCTAAACCTGTATTCCCTGGAACGCAGGAGGGAGAGATACATGATTATATACACCTGGAAAATCCTAGAGGGACTAGTACCGAACTTGCACACGAAAATCACTCACTATGAAAGCAAAAGACTTGGCAGACGATGCACCATCCCCCCAATGAAAAGCAGGGGTGTCACTAGCACGTTAAGAGACCATACAATAAGTGTCAGGGGCCCGAGACTGTTCAACTGCCTCCCAGCACACATAAGGGGGATTACCAACAGACCCCTGGCAGTCTTCAAGCTGGCACTGGACAAGCACCTAAAGTCAGTTCCTGATCAGCCGGGCTGTGGCTCGTACGTTGGTTTGCGTGCAGCCAGCAGCAACAGCCTGGTTGATCAGGCGCTGATCCACCAGGAGGCCTGGTCACAGACCGGGCCGCGGGGGCGTTGACCCCCGAAACTCTCTCCAGGTAAACTCCAGGTAAACAGCGTGGAGTGCCAACAGTGATGCTCTTGCAGTAACAATGTGACTTCTCCATTACTAGAAGCTGCAAAACAGCAGTCTCCATAACTTTTAGCTAATACAGTATCTACATATTTTATGAATTATTAAAAAAATTTTAGAAAAAAGACTAAAGATATACTAGGCCCTCCAGATTCTGACAGTCTGTGCTATATGTATGCAACTAAAACAAAAGGTGAGATTCGTAAAAATAAAATTTACAAACAAAATAATCCAGTCTAGCTGAGTTTGTCAGACCATTAACTTTGTAATAATAATAATATTAATAATAATGAAGACTACTCTTTATTACTTCAGGGAATTATTAGCTATATGGTTCCTCATGTATCTGATAAATTACTGCCTAAATATTGAAGACATTACCAAAAAAAGATTAATAGTGTAATGAAATATTCATAATTGCCAGAGCAGTCTTGCCACTCAAGGTTTAGTAATGTATCCTTGATTGCTACATTTTGGTTAGTCTTGCCATAGAAAGTTATCTTTCCGTTGATTCTAAAGTGCTTTTCAGAGTATCATGCAACCTCCCATTGATATTTTAAAATGTCACTAGAGATTCTTTTTCTGGAGGTACAGTAGCCAACACCTCACCATAGGACTTGCAGTGCTGGAGGTACAGTAGCCAACACCTCACCATAGTACTCACAACTCTGGAGGTACAGTAGCCAACACCTCACCATAGGACTTGCAGTGCTGGAGGTACAGTAGCCAACACCTCACCATAGGACTTGCAGTGCTGGAGGTACAGTAGCCAACACCTCACCATAGTACTCACAACTCTGGAGGTACAGTAGCCAACACCACCATAGTACTCACAGTGTAGGAGGTGTGGTAGTCAACACCTCACCATAGTACTCACAATGCAGGAGGTACAGTAGCCAACACCACATCACAGTACCCACAAAGCTGGAGGTACAGTAGCCAACACCTCACCATAGTACTCAGTGTTGGAAGTAC